AAGCAACATACTTCTAGATCCTTTGAATTTTTAAATCTTATTTTCACAAATAATATTTTTGGCGTAAGTACCAAATATCATGGTTGCAGCACAGAACTCTAAGATCCTGTAAATTGCAATGGTATCTAAAAAGTAAAATTAATCATATGAAGATGCTCTAAATAATTACAGTTTAGTTAATCCTCCTCATGCAGAACCCTCTAAATAAGCTATAAATGAATATGTCCACAGACCTCCCTAAGCCAAATAGTTAACCTTGTGACTTTGCATGATTTCAATCACTGGCATCATATGAATTTTGTCACCAGGGTGTATAATAGTGGATACTAAAACCTTTATTCTGACATGGATACGGTCAGAATCAAAAATATTTTTCCTACTTCAAAAAGGGTTGGTCCCTCTTCCTCAATTCCATTTTTAAATGTGGGGTATTACCTTATATATCAAATGTTTAGATGCGAGATAATTCCACATATCAAAATAGCCAGAAATTCTAGTCAAATACTCCTGTTCTATCAGTTATGATTCAGCGGTCTTTTCAAATGTTGATGATTGTCTAAAAACCAAGTGACAGTTAATTGATTTATAATTAATTACAAGTACATAAGCATCACTTAGTCATTTTTATAATATTATGTTCTACAATATTCTTCTGATGCTGAATATTTTAAAATACTAAGTCATTTTCATATCTTAAAAATAAATTGATTCCAGTTTATCTACTAGTTGTCTCAAGTAGCCTAATCCCAAGGACATTTAAATTATCAATAGTTTGGTTTCTCTCAGATTATCATTGACAATTCAGGTAAAAAAACTTAGAAACCATGAATCAATTAATCTGACCTAACCTCTTTTGATGAGGGAAAAATTGATAAACATTGCAAAGCTGATTGGCCAGCACAAATTGTGCTATGCCTTTCAAATACACATTTTTTTCTGTATTCATGCTGTGTAAAGAATCAAGCAAACAGAGCATCCAGTACAATTCTCTGCTGACATTCTAAAAAGCTAGCTGTAGTAGTCTCTATTTTTTAACAAAAAGGAAGCGTTATGTGGACACAGATTTTCTGGGCTACATTTTACTTCCTAAAAAAGCTTGAATTACATGTGAATATGTGATACATGCATATTTTTCAAGGTGTGAAAAGTATATGCAGAGATATCTGGGGAGGTTGCAATACAGGATACAGTACTGTAATGACATAATGGTGATTTAGATATACTTTAATTGATGACAGATACATATTTGTCCCTACTGAAGGTACAGGGAGTGAGGAAAGAATGATTTTACTTCTGCTCTTTTGTGTTGGAGTCTTTGTTCTAAAATTGCCACCAGAAGGTTAATGACAAAAGAAAACCTGGGAACTGTATCTCTCCCTCTTTTTAAAAATATTGTTTTATTTCCTTGCAGTCTATTCAAAAAAGACACAAAACTATAAATATGTCTGCTAAACAATGCAATGTTCTATATGCCATTATTTACCAGAATAAAAAGTACCTTCTTCTAAAATCCTGTGATCATGTACAAGTTAAAACAAAGTAATTGGGAGCTGGCATACAATAGTGTCAACTTCCATCACCATCATTTTTGAGATTATCTCTTTGTCAACATGATGGTATCTTACTTGTGCTCATTAATTTCATTACATCTATTGAGCTTGACTCTCCCCCCACCATGTTCATATTTTATTTCTGTGACTGAATACTGCTGAACATCAACTTTTCTGCCTTTTATAAGAGGGGAATGGACGATGATTTAAATTTACTACTCCCTGCAATCCAAGACTCTCAGCAGTTCACAGTAATAAAAGATATAAAAACAACCACAATAAAAAATTGAAAGTACATATCTATAAAATATAAAGAGCAGCCCTGTTTTCAACAGTTTCCAAAAGGCCAAACTATGTTAACTTTAGTTCATGTGAGAAGCCGTTTCAAAGTAAAAGTGCTGGCACAAAATAGCTACCTGTGGACCTTCTTGGTTCGTTCCATACAGAAATTCCTATCTACCATGTCAGCAATTTCTCTCAGACCCACAAGTCCAGCAGATCAATTCTGGTTGGAAAAGACGGTCCCGAAGATACTTTGATGCCAAGGTATATAGAGATTAATGTCTATGGAGATTCTTAGTCATCCAGATCATGGTTGTCCCAAAAGTATTATTTTTCAAGAGGCAACTGGACTTTCTGGTTTTTCTTTGAAGACGTTTTGCTTCTCATCCAAGAAGCTTCTTCAACTCTAAGAGATTAATGACTAATGGCTTAAATTGCACTTGGAAGCTATATGGAACCAGTGCAGAGCTCAGAACATAGTTTTAATCTGTTTGTGATTTCAAGTGCCAGCAATTAATAAACACCGTACTCTGGACTACTGAAATTTCCAGGTGGTCTCCATGGGCAGTCCTATGTAGAGTGCACTGCAGTAATCTAGCCCTGTGGTGATGAGGACATGAATTCCAGTACTGTTGTGAGGTGATCCCACTCTAGGGCACATCCTTCCTGTCACCCTAATCAAAACTTGAAAAAGACTATTCTAGCCATCTAATGCCCAGAGGGATTCCAAAATTATGACTCTCTTTTGGTGATACCATTATTCCCTACACAGAAAACAATAGAGCTATTAAACACCTTGATGAGCAAATAACAACTCTTGCTGGAATTCAGCTCTAGAACTGCAGAAAAAACAATTGCTACCAACCTTCCTTCCATTGAGGGCCTGTATATTGCACAAGTCAAAAAGAGGGCTGTGAAAATATCTACAGATCCCTCACATCCTGGACATAATTTGTTTCAACTTCTACCCTCAAAATGACATTATAGACATTATATACCAGAACCAGACACAAGGACAATGTTTCTTCCTGCATACCATCTGCTAAACAACTAATTCCCACAATACTGTCAAACTATTTACTAAGACTGTATTACTATTCCTCTCATCCTTCCTATTACCTATCTCCTTCTACCTATGACTATAACCTTGTTGCTTTACGATTTATATGTTAGTTTCCTAGTATGATTTTGATTGCTTATTTAGTATCCTATGTACCACTAAGTGTTGTATTTTATGATTCTTAATGAATGTATTTTTTATGTATGCATCGAAGACAAATTCCTTGTGTGTCCATTCACACTTGGCCAATAAAGAATTCTATTTCTATTTCAGCCTCTTTTATTACATTCACACCCCAACAGCCTCCGAACACCTCTACATACACAGTAGGATTTGGGCCAAATTATTTGTCTCTCCCGTTCCGTCAAATGTATGTTTGCTCAAATGACTGTCTTGAGGTTTTAGAAATCAGATACCCTCTCTGCCTTGCGGTCCATTCTTACAGAAATTACTTTTTTTTTTTCTCCAAGAAATGGATATTGTGGATCAGGCAACTGAAGCACAAACTTCTAACAAATGACACTTCCATCCCCAAGAACCTACAATATGCATAAATTCCAAGTGGGCCCAGTACACTGAAAAGGCTGGGGAAACCATTTACATTAGATGTTCTTTAAGGCAGTAGTTGCCAACCGGGTGGGCTGTAGACCACTCATGGTCTAAAGTGCACCAGTGTCTGCAACAGGGGTGATATCGGCAGTGGATGAACTGATGCGCGTGGGGGAGATTGCAGCATCAGAGCCCTTCCCAGGTGTTCCCTGGCCTGCGAGGGGATGAGGGGAAAGGAACCTCTGAACTGGTGCTGGGTGGTGAGAATCTGATGTCCAGAGTCCAACGAGCCACATACTGAAGACCAGATGGCTAGCAGGGAATAGGAACCCACTCCATACCTTTACTACAGATGCCTTGAATGCTCCATTTCAGCTTTTCTTTAATGGTCCAGATCTGTCCCATTCTACCCCAGAGAATTCTGTGCCTGAATTTGCACGGCTTGCCTAAAGCTGCCTATGGTTTACTCTATCCAGTTCTTCAGAACTTTTAACAACTACAACTGGGTGCATACCACATGCCAGCAGATTTAAGAGCGGCTTGGCTAACTTGCAGTCCTGTACGATATGTACCGTGTTTATCATATAATAAGGCCGGGTCTTATTTTTTTTTGAGCCCTGAAAAAATGGCTAGGCCGTCTTTTCGGGGGTGACTTAATTCCCCCCCCCCTTGCATCTTCAGGCGGGCGGATGGCGACAGCTTGGATGTTGACCTCGGCGTTGGTGGGGCACTTTGTATCGGGGTCAATGCAGGCAGCACCATATCCGGGTGTGCAACAAAAGTACTTCCTAACGGCAAGCCCCCCCCCCACCATTCCCCCCCATTTCGCATGTTTTAATATAGGCCTTAATTTGGGGGGAGGGGCTTAATTCCATTTCATGCCTATAAAACATGCTGGGACTTCCTATTGGGGGAGGCCGTATTGTTGGAGAAACAGGGTATGTATGTATGTATGTATGTATGTATGTATGTATGTATGTATGTATGTATGTATGTTTGTCAATTGCTTACAAGATAATAAGTATAAGTAAAAAAACATAGTTATGAATACATGGGTACATATAAGAAAAATAAAAGAAATAAAAGAAACAGGACAGTGACGGTAGGCACGTTGGTGCGCTTATGCAAGATGATTTAGACCAGAGTACTTCCAAATACTCTGTAAACATGGACGCAGTGGACTACCTCCTCTCCAGTTGCCTTTTGAAGAAAAAAACACTTTTGAGACAACTATAACCCGGATGACTGCGAAACTGCACACTCCGCCCCACCCACCCCAATAAATATAATTCGGGTGTCATAACTCTGTCATCAAATTACCAACCCAAACCAATCCTGAACCTGTTTTAGGCTTACCAAGAGAATTTAGCTTTTAGGAAATGTTTGCAAAGCTAATTCAATCGGAATTTAAGCTGCAAAGAAGTCATTAACACTCGCTTCCTAATAAATGGCCGCTGAATAGGAGGCACAGAATCCGATGGGACGTATATTATTCATTTGGCTTTTCCTTCCAATAATCGCTGCCCTCACCGCCCGATGCACAGATATACCCAACTTACCAGGCTCTCCATTTGTGCTTTTAGGTCCTGTTTTCGCGACAGCGGGAGAAACAACTCGATCCCGACGCCTTACCGTCCTCCACCGCGATTCCCGCCTCCTAAACTTGAAATGGCGCTAAAATGATCGCTAGCTCTTTAAAGGGTCAATGCCAACAAAGGAACTCGGCTCACAATTGCTCATTGCTGAGGCGTTTCTTGCCCGGGAAGATCGTTTATAAGGCTTTGCAGGTAGACCCGCTGACTGGCCTTGCGAAATAAATCACAATTCGTAATGGTCACACAGCCCATTAAACCACAGTTTGTAAAGCAGAGTGACTTGCGTTCCTTCGAAGCGCTAAATCGCAAGCAGAATTGCGGTATGAGGTATTTATTAGGTTCAAGGTACAAAACGTTCGAACAATCCAGGGAATTGAATTAATTCCGCTATATTTGTTTGCCCATCCGAACCATTCCTGTGGTTTAATTGGCCCACGTGTGACAGTTTTTAGGTGCACGTTCCGGATTATGGTTGCAATCCTTGATGCCTTTATATAAAAATATGGCAAAAATGACTGTCCTATTGCACATGTTTGTTTGTTTTTTGGACCCCACGTTTCCACTTCGGCTGCGGCATCGCCTTTTTAAGCGAAAGCTATTCTCAGCGGCTCAATGGGTGGAGCAAACTAAGACCGGGAAGTTCATACACATAACAGTATTCCAAGCAGTAAAGCACTCACCGACGGTCGTTCCTGTATTACAATATTTATTTTGCATATTGTATTACAGTAGGTGCTTATTTAGCCTATTGCAATCCTTGCTTATTTTCTATACTAGCAAACTGTCAGTCAGAGAAGAGCGACTAAGATGATCAAAGGCCTGGAGACTAAAACATATGAAGAACAGCTGCAGGATTTGGGCTTGGCTAGTCTAAAGAAAAGATGAATTTGGGGGTGACATGATAGCAGTATTCCAGTATTTGAGGGGCTGCCACAAAGAAGGGGTGGGGGAAATATTCTCCAAAGCACTGGAGGGCAAGACAAGAAACAATGGTTGGAAACAAATCAAAGAGAGAAGCAATCTGGAATTAAGGAGAAACTTCCTAATGGTGAGGACAATTAACCCATGGAACAGCTTGCCTCCAGAAATCACAGGAGCTCCATCACTGGATGTTTTTAAGAAGAGACTGTCTAGACAGTAACTTATCTGAAATAGTATAGGTTCTCCTGCTTGAGCAGGGGGCTGGACTGGAGGACCTCTGAGGTCCCTTCCAGCTTTATTCTATACTAATTTATTGAGATAGGTGCAAAGCCAGTGGAGACAGATACAGACTACTAACAATAGCTTGAGGCACTAGACATATGAATGCCTTCTAATCCTATTGAATCATCATAAATGAATGCTAAAACCAAATAGTGGGGTGTTATTTGTAACTTGAAAGAGGGTAACACTATGCTGTTGGAGGACAAAGACATTTATGGCAATAGCCCAAATCTTAAAGAGCAATTTGTTAAAGATGCTTAAAGAGCATCCTCTCTTCAAGAAGCCATTACTAGACTTAACCATACTGGAGAACTTTCATCCAATATCTAACATTCCCTTTTTAAGGAGGGTTGATGAGAAATAGCTTCAGAAGATTCTGACTAAAACTGGGGGTGAAAGGAGTTGTATTGTGCCAATTCTTAACACATAACAGATAATCAGAGTTGGAAGGGACCTTATAGGTCATCTAGTCCAACCCCCTGCCCAAGCGGGAGACCCAAGACCATTTCTGACGAATGGCAGTCCAATCTCCTCTTGAAGGTCTCAAGTGATGGCGCTTCCACAACTTCAGAGGGCAAGCTGTTCCACTGGTTGATTGTTCTCACTGCCAGAAAGTTTCTCCTTATTTCCAGGTTAAATTTCTCCTTGTTCAGTTTCCATTCATTATTCCTTGTCTGGCCTTCAGGTGCTTTAGAAAATAGATTGACCCCTTCCTCTCTATGGCAGCGCCTCAAATATTGGAAGACTCTCATTCATGGATGGCTATTTCCAATGGATTTTCCTTGGGAATGATAATTCTTGCTCTCAACCCTACTTTGCAAGGTTTCACAGGGTTTGGTTCTCTCTTCGCTTGTGTTTAACCTCTGCAGGAAGTCTCTGGATGGGATCATCTGTCACCATGTGGTGAGGTATTAAGTTATGCTGCTGTTGACCTTCTGCCTTGGTCTTTAAAGACTGTGGAGGTATGGTTGGGAAAACAGGTTTCAGCTCAATCCTAGCAAGGCATTGGATTTGGGGGCCTTTTGGTTTCAGTGACTTACCACCCCTTGTTCTGGATGCGGTGGCATTGCCCCAAAGAAACCCTGTATGCAACCAGAGAGTGCTCCTGGATTCATGACCCCTATGTGAAGAACTTCATATTGTGCATCAGTTTTGCCCATTTGTGGACTGGGAGCAGGGGTGGGTTTCTACTGGTTCTGTCCACCTCTGTAGAACCGCTAGCTCTGAAGAGCAGCAGACATAGAACCGGTTCTATGTCTGTTGATGTTTTTGCCCACCTGCCCACCCGGGCTCTTACCTGATCTTTATTTCCTGATTTTTCAACTTCAGCTGCCGAACGACAGCTGCAGTTAAAAAAACCAAATGAGGGCTGTTTCAAAGGCTTCTTTCTAGGCACACGCAGCGATGATGATTTACAGCTCACAGCGGGCAGGGAAGCTCGTAAATCCCGAACTGGTAGCTAACCCTGTCATATCCCACCCCTGACTGGGAGGTTTACTCTTCAACACCTCTCAAATGGATTATTGTACAGGTGGTCTTTACTTAATGAGCACTCATTCGGCAACTATATGAAAGTATGGTGGTGCTGAATGAAAGGACTAATGAGCCAGAACTGAAATTATGGTGCAACTCCTCTGCAGTCATGTGATTGGAATCTGGATGCTTGGCAATCTGTTTGCCCTGACAACAGGTTGCCAAGTGCAAACTTCCCTGCCCTCAAAAAATCAATAGGGAAGTTGGGCAGGGAACGTTGCAAGCTGCTGCTGCTGCTTGCCCAGAGGACTGTCTGGTTCCTGGGGATAGTCTGAAAAAGATCCATCACAAAATTCAAGCAGTAAATCCTGCTTGGATTTCAGTCAGCCTGCTTAAGAGCACAGGGGGTAAAATCTATCCATGATGTTGTGCTTTTGCTTTCAAATAGGCTGGGTGAAAAAGTCCCTTTCTGAGGGACCTGGTTCTGGTTGCCCAGAAACACCAGCAGGTGCAAAATGGACAGTTACGTGTGCTCCCTGATCAGCGTACATTACACCTCTGTTCTATAAGCTGTATTGGTTCAAAGTTTGCTTCCATGTTCAATTCAAGATACTGATAATGACCTATAAAGCCCTATATAGCATGTGATGGGTTATTTGATGGACTGCCTCTTCAGTTACCTCTGGCAAGAATGGCATGTTTACCAAGGTGTGTCATCCAACAAGGTCCTGAAAGACTATTCTGTCATGGTGCCTGCCTCTTAAAGGACATGTGTCCTGGCTGGCTTTTCGGAAAGCCTCAGGCTTCAGCTGGGGAAGAGAACCCTTCAGTGATTATGCTGAAAGCCATGAATGTTGTTTATACAGCTGCTGCATATGTTTTATGGTTTTAATACAGTTTTATCATACGCTTTGATGGTTTTTATTTCTATTTTGCTCTTTGAAAATATAGTATTCCAATTAACAAGCAGCTAGAAAAGAACAAGAAAGATGGGCTTTATTTATTCTGCCATAATAAAAGGAAAGAAAGAAAAGTCATTACAGGAATTAAAAGGGATTAGCAGTTTTCATGGTAGTGATCCATGTCTTCTAGTGCCACTCAGCCACTGCTGTGGCAATGTAAAGCATTATTGGTATGTTGACATTATGCTAGTTAGGCTACTATGCTATACATATCAAGAGTAGAAATAGCCATTTGCCACACAGGCAAAATGGTGTACTTCAGTCAAGTGGGTTTGGGAGCCAGTATGTATATTACATACAAAAAGTAGTTTTCCAGCCCTAACATCAAACAGGGGACCATAGAAATAGAAGTTAAATGAAGATATCTGTCTTTTATAAAGGCTGATAATCTACTTTAAAGACACACAGTTATTTAGAGGATAGGGAGATAAACCTCATCACTAGGAGAAATCTAGGAGTTTTCTTAGTTCTTATTTTTCAATGAAGGGGAAAGGAGGGTGAGGGAAGGGCAGGGAACTTTAGCTTTAGAAAACCAAATAGATTCTAAAAAGAAGCAAATGGTCTGACATACATTCATATCAAAGTTCAGGGGCTGAACATCGAACTAAAAAAAATCCCACACAATTTGATGTATCATACCATGGTTTGTTTAGTTGCATGCTTCTGTCGTGTTCTTGTGCTGTAGTTAAAAGGCCCTCTGGATTTATTTATATATTTATTTATTCAATTTATCTGACTGAAAAGGGTAGAGATGGATCTCCCTCTCACTACGTAAATATATACAGACTCAGAATACGTGTGTACATGTGTATATATACTGTCTCACATATTCTGTTATTTACAGTATGTAGCATGCTTCATTAATCTTACACATGCAGCTTTTTAAATGTACAATTACAGATAGTCCTTGACTTACAACCACAATTGAGCCCAAAATCTCTGTTGCTGAACAAGACATTTAGGTGATCTTTGCCCCTTTTTACAATCTTTCTTGCCACAGTTGTTAAGTGAATCACTGCAGTTGTTAAGTTAGTAACACAGTTGTGAAGTGAACCTGGCTTTCCCTTTGCTTTTCAGAAGGTTGCAGAAAGTGTTCACCTGACCCCAAGACACTGCAACCATCATAAATATGAGTCACTTGCCAAATGTCTGAATTTTGATCACGTAACCATGGGGAATGTTGCAACAGTGGTAAGTGTCAAAAACAGTCATAAATCAACTTTTTTCGGTGCTGTTGTAATTTCAAACAGCCACTAAACAAACTCTTGTAAGTCGAGGACTACATGTATTTTATCATCCTCCCAGCAAACACTATTAAATATACAAGAATAATGTAGTGTAAAGGAACTTGTAGGAGTGCAATGCATGGCAATAACTATGGGAATGCTATTCATGTATTCATGTAAGGCACACTTTATATTTGCTAAATATAAATGGGAATACATGGGAATTCACAAGGTTAATAAATAAATAATTGGATGCATTAGAAATAATAATGTTAATATAAATGAGAACGGAGCATCAAGAGACCTTTCTCATTCCCTTTAGTTCTCACTCTCTTTTAATTTCATTATATAATATATTTGTGAAAGCCTTTACTGGCGTTTGTATGGATACACAGCATGGAGGTACTAAAGTTTTGTTTGGGACTGTAAATTACTGTTGTTGTTTTTTTAACCTAGCAAGATGTTGTAGATTGAGATCCTTAATGATGGTGGCTAATTAATGTAATTACATAAAAGTCTTTACAATATTTTTTTCTGAACATACAACATGGAATAATGATGCTTTGTTTGTCACTGTCAATTGTGTATTTTTATCCCAGCACCATTTTACTGATTAAGCTGCTTGATCTTGGAGACTGAGGTAGAAAATTCAGATTGTCATTTCCTAGGCATATAAATCAAATGGGAAATCATTGAAATTTAATTAAAATGCCTCTTTTTATATTCTATTTCTTATATAAGCCACATGTGTGCATTCAGGACAGAATATAAACTTTGTGTGCCTATTTTAAAATACACTTGACTCTACTTTGCAATAAAACTCAGTCATCCTGGCTTTGAGGCAGCTTTTTATCTTCCAATTTCAAACATAACTGATATAATAAGAACTATGCTAGGTAAGAAGCAGGATCTTAATGTAGCATTTTGTTTCTGGAGCCTGCAAACAGCCACGGAAAAACAATCACTCTCTCCAATAACTATAGGTGCTGCTGAAAAAGACATACAGCCAGCTGTACATCAGACAGCATCCTTGGCTTGCAAATGCCAGGGTGGGTTAGGTTGAATGTTGAATAGTTATTTCTCTGTTCCATTCCATGTAATGAGGGCACTGCTTTCCTAGTATTTGCTAGTATCAGTCCAACTAAGGTTTTTTATGTGGAACAAGAGAGGAAGCTATGTTCTCCTTTCACTGACGTTCAAAATGTATTTAGTTGACCATCCATAATCATTTGAAACTGAAAGGCTGAGTAGTGCATAGATCTATTTATACGTTTGGTTTCATATACATTTACCTAGTGTAACTGTATTAAAGAAGAAAGCACCACTATATTCAATGTAGATTTTGGAATTAGTAGAAATCTCTGTATTCTGAAGTCGTGGGAGTCCTTGGGCTGGATAGAGTCTTGTGTGATTTAGACATGAATGTATAAAATACTGAATTAATTTGCTTCTTCATGCCATGTCCCGCTTCCTTACTGTAACCATGTAAATTTGCCAGATTTCTCTGATGCAGAGCTATTAGCAAAAATAAATTATAGCATTTAATTAAATAAATAATTCCCAGCACAACAACTAAAGAGTTATTTATACCTGTGAAACAGAAAGTTAAACAGCTCACTGAAAAAGATGAACATCTTGGCATCATGTGGCAGGAAAAATAAAAGCAAGACATAAAAAATAAATTGTCATCTCCTATAAATAATCTGAATGGAACCATTTCCAACTGCAGTGCAACTCAATCCTAATAAAATGGCTCTGTGGTAGCAGACAGATTCATCCTGTTTATGTTGATTTATAGCTCAGCTGGATTGATGATGGACCCTTGTGGAGTGATTCCAAGTTAATTCTGTTGACTGACCTTTAATTTACACCATTTTTGATATAACAGTTGTAGTAGAGAGATTGGGAAAATAAAACAGTTCACACCAAAATGTCTGAAAATAGGATCTACTTCAAATTCTACTGCAGAATTCATAACCATGCCCCAGACATCATTTCAGAAGGAAACATCTGCACCCCATCACTCACTGTAACCACCCTCCCCTTTTTCCTTTTGAGATATTGGTCACCATTTTTCATTCCAATAGTTTGTCTGGGAAATCTCTTGAATCACATCTACTATTAGAACTGCCTGACCAGTAAATAAACCACTTTGTACTCACATTTTGGCCTTTCTTAATTTGGCCCCCTCCAATATATCAGATTGCAACTCTTAAATCTCAATAAGCCCAGTGATATCTGGGAACTTTGGAACAGCACTTCCAACCTATTTGGTTGGAAAAGCTGCTGTTAGAGATAAGAAGCCTAAAAACCAACCCTGAAGGGTAAAATAAATAGTTCACCTAACTATGAGAGAAATTCTGCTGGACCAAACTAGTCGGCATCATATTTACAACATATAGCAACTAGAAACTTTGGGGAAGTCCAGAAATACAGCATTCAAGGCTCTTACACAGGGGTGGGGGAGTGGGTATACAGTAGTTCTATAAGTGAAGCAAAATGACTCAACCTTCCTCCCATCAGATCTTGCTTCAATAGCCAAGTATACACATGTTGATACTAAAAAAAAAACTCTAATAGATCAGCCAAAGGCTTCCCTATTCTTAACTCCATCTAAAAGCCATACTCATTCTTTGTCAGCAAGAACTGGAAGATCGTTCTAATCAGGGTTCCCTTGTGCTCCTTGAGCTTGCAACCAAGATCAGAGAGCACCAAGGACCCTACAGTTCAACCCTAAGCTACAAATATTTTCTTCTATTGATCGTTCTAATCTTAATCATGTTTCAACCATTTTTTTCTGAACTTTTGAAACAGATACTCTGGTGAAGATGCCAGATTTCCTGACAAGATGTATATTTTTTAGAAGACCAATATTTTACATGTGGATCTTTTAATATGGGCTGAGTTCGTACACTGTACTAAATCATAATGTGGCTACTTCAGATTTGATAATAGCATGATGTTAGAATCTAGTCATTCTGGTTTATAGCATAGGATGATGTATGGAACCAATCACTGGGCAACACATTATGCTTTGAAAATACAGCTTAGCCTGCTGTATTTAACCAAGCCATGGAGGAATAAACTTGACTTCCATGGAAGCAAGGTGAGATACAAATGGATGCTTACTTTGCATTACTAATCAGTAATGATTAGACCAGAGATTAGTTTTGGTTAATGAAGAGGCTGGTTTTAGGGGCTCTTGAGAATATATGGTTTGCATTTGTTAATATGGTAAATATGGTTATTTGGTTTAATTTGGTCAGAGTTTGTGCTCTTTCTTACTTCGAGCATCTAAGCAGAACTTTCAGTTCTAAAAAATTATGCTATTTTTATAGCTTTATTGAGGTCCTAGAGAAGATTCTACAAAAAAGGGCCATTTCCATTCAGTGTCTTCATAGCAAATAAGAAAAGGGAAGTGAAATAGTATCAGAGAATATAGTGGAATAGACTATGGTAGCAATGAAAAATGGAGCCCACAACATTTCACAAGTTCTATATTTATCAAAGGAACTTCACTGAAGCCAGTGGTGGGATTCACATTTTTTTACTACCAGTTCTGTGGGCGTGGCTTGGCGGGTGTGGCAGGGGAAGGATACTGTAAAATCTCCAGCCAGAGGTGATATTTGCCGGTTCTCTGAACTACTCAAAATTTCCACTAACGGTTCTCCAGAACTGGTCAGAACCTGCTGAATGCCACCTCTGACTGAAGCTATATGTATGTCTAGGTCTACAGTTTAAAAGGCAATTCATAAAATGTGGTTTTGATGAAGGAAGGATTATAGAGATTCATATTCAACATCAAGTCTCCTTTGTATTCAATTCATTCTTCTCACCCCTTGCCCTAAGTGTGCCTTTGAGGATGAAGTCACAGGGCTTGAAAGTTTAATTTCAAATTCGGCTAAACTCAAACTGACGGAATACTTTCAATCTGCTTAAAGTAGAATTCCCATGTTTATTGGTAGGCTATCTGACAATTAAGATGGCAGCAGAGAGATACATAAAACATTTTTGGTACCTTCTGTTGGCTACCCCGATTTCTGCAGTCTAGATACGGCAACCCTATCTTAAAGATAAGTGAGACCATGCCCTAATTCTATTTCACTTCACTTTTTTAGCACTGGGATAAATTATATGGGATAGTGAGGAAAATTAAACAGCAAAAGCAGCAGCTTCTGATGGAAAGAAACGACACAAATGTAAACACATCAATAAATATTTAAATAAAAAGCTAGATACTCCCCCTCCCTCAGGAAACTTATTTTGATTTAGTGATTGATGTTTGAAATAGGTGTTATAAAATGTTCTTACTTAGGCTGCTAAATCCCTACCTGGCATTTTGAATTTTAAAGCAGAGCTATGGATTGCATAGCACAAAAATCCAAAGCTGGCTATTAGCAGCAGCTCCAAGATCAGCACTGAGCATGTTGAGGTTACTACTAGGATGCCAGGAATTGAACCAAGACCTTCTCTATGTAAGCACATACTTTATTCAGTGATGTTTGTTCCCTGCTGGGGTTCTGGCTCTGGTTCTGCATTTGCTTACCCCCAAAATTGTTTCTCACGTATGCACAAGCCAAAATTATATATGTATATATTCTACGTGGCCACAAGTCACTTGCTCTTCCTCACTATTCTCACCAACCTATGTCAATAGATAATCTGAGCAAGATTCCTCCAAGGGGGAAGCTACTTTGATGGAAGGAAAGAATTGTTCCACCTATTCAAGTCCTCAAACCCACTTGAGCCAAGGGTTCATACCTTGCCGGCACAGCGCACAAAGCTGGAGCCAGAATATTATGAGCAGCAGGGGAATTGAAAGATGCCAATGGCAAACTCACAAAGAACTACCTAGCAATCCCACACTAAACAATCTGCCTCCCACAACAATTCAGGTGCAGAAGGGAGAGCAGTGAGGTCTGCAAAGGGTGACTCAGCATAATAGGTGCGAAGGGAATGCAAGTTTTGCAAGAATTCAAAACAGAGTTATTCTTATACTCTTATACCTTTTGTTTCCCCCCCACAAAACTGTTTTTAAGACTTCTCACTGCAAAATAAATCATTTAAAAATCAGGCAATGACATAGTCTCCCTCCCCTCCCAACCGCACTCTCTGCATTCGATTATCCCATGTTTTGTGTGTCTGTTAATTTGTTTTTATGAGAGAGAAAGACTGGATAACATATTTTCCCCTCTGATTTGTGCCTCCTTTGTGCAACCACTTCCCACTGGCCAGGAGCAATAACAGTCTGTATACTGGGCCAGTTATTCTGCCCCATCTCTCCCCAGAGCAGGGATGTGTGTATGTGCTATGTTGTGCCACCCTATGGTCACTGTTTATGGTGCTTGTGTCTTCAGCTCAATAGGATCCCCTGGAGGTTCTCTGGATGTATGGGTTGCAACAGGCCGGTCACCTTTGAGAATAGACAGACGTTCTGAGATACTACGCATCCGAGGGAATAAGATGAAGTCATACAAAAAGCCACCCATCAAACCACCAATAATTGGGCCAACCCAATATACCTGGAAGAACAAAAGACAAAAGCATGGGAAGGGGGAACAAGAAGATAGGTTAAGGATGCAGAAACATCTTAAGAGTATAGCATTGCAGAAAAAAAATATTCAGGGCCTTTTCCCACTAGCAGATTAAAGTCCTCTTCACCCATCATTGATAAATCATAAAGTACTGGCAGCCCAACCGGCACCTCTAGTCAGCTAGTCTCTTCTACTTTATTAGTCTCATCATTGAGCCTGCAAATGGATTCCAAGAAGAGCAAAGACTCTTCCATAATTGCCCAATCTCTAATTCCATTGATTCAAGATTGCTCATAAATTTTGCCACCAAGCTTAGATTTATATGTTGTCATGTGTCTGATAATTAATAGAATCTTAAAGTAAGGCCAGATAAGTTTGACATTGGGATCCTCTGACATTTTCAGTGCTGTCTCAACATTTTTCTTTCATTCTGAGTCAAGCAATTGTCTGGTTAAGTCCTTTATTTTTGTTGGCAAGATTTCAGAAGAGATTGCCATTGCCTCCTTCCCAGGACTGAGAGAGGGGAACTAACCCAAGATCACCCAGTTGGCTTTGTGTTTCAGGCAGGACTAGAATTCACTGTCTCCTGGTTTCTAACCTGCTGCTTTTAACCACTACACTAAACTGGCTCTCCCCTCTCAACTTACCAACAGAATAAAAATTGGACCCGAGTGCCGTTTATTTGGGGGACTGTTAAAAATATTTACTTTTATGGAAGATTAAAATGCACCCAAGTTGCCTCTGCTATGTTTTCTCCTCAACCAAACAATATCTCACTTGGGACATCCTGGGAGCCAAATTTCAAGAGTTTGGATGCTGCTCTGGATAAAGATATAAAAAGTTCCCCCTTCTGAAGTTGGAATTGTTTCTCCAAATTCAGAGAGGGAAAATCAAATAATCTTTCAGCCCCTAGACTGTTGTTTCAAAGAACTGTAAGATGTCGTCATTTCTTATCCTTACAAAAAAAAAAATTACCCAGTGGTTGGTGAAGTTACGGGTTATGACAGCTGGGGCAAAGGATCGGGCAGGATTCATGCCAGCTCCTGTGTAGTACATCTGAAAAAAAGAGTAGGGTTATGATAGGGAAATATTTTTTTTCATCATGCAATTCAGGTTTCTAATTCTAAAGGGTCCAACTTCCTTATTTATATGTTTGCTTAAATATTAGCATTTATATACTGCCTTTGGGCACATGCACAAGGCAAATAGTAAACACACAATAAAGCAACAATAATTTCACTAAAGTACCAAAATCAAACTTAAAAATAATATAAACTAAAAATAATGTATACCCATTGAAAGGCAGTTTAAAATATACAATTAAAATATTGGAAGGGGCAAGCTGTTACACTGAGTAGATTCCATATAGCAACCTGGAAACACTTTCTAACAGGAGCGGGTTCACATGAATTCCAAGGACTGCTGAAGTTATTTCATGTGGCCTTAGGCTTAATTTCAAAAGCCTTCTTCAAATCCCAGCCATCATAAAAGCTTCTCCAGAAAAAGACATGAGCTTTGGAAGATTGGCATGCTTGATGGGAAGAAAGACCCCCTTCCCCACTGTTTTATAGATTCAAAATGGTTAAACAGAAGGAAGATATGAAGTTAAACTGCTGGAAGAATAGGATGCAGTTAAGAATGAGGGGAAGTATTGGGAGGGCTAATCCTCCATCCAGGCCTGGTCAGGTGGCTACTAAAGGGTCTGCCTAAATGCACAGTATTACAGCTGGCTATATATTGGTGCATCTTGCATTTTGCATCATTACCCCAAAGAGGTGTCCAAGTGTGAGGGAGAATCCAACTGCCAGAGCCACAGATCCCATGCGTCCGTTACGTCTCTCATCGTAGGTGGCAAAGACACAGAGGACAAACTGTAGGGTCAGGATGATTTCCACAATGGTAGCTTGGCTTACATTTATACCAGGGTGCATCTGTAACCAGAAGATATGTGGAAGGATAAAACCATGAGGAACAGCAAAAGTTATCATTCATTCCATATCTAACTATACCTTTTAGGGGCTTTGGTTTCCAGAAATTATTTATACATACCAGGAGGGAGCACTGATTGCATTTACATCTAGAATAAGTTTGTAGAATGAAGATATTACATTTTAATAGTGTACATGTGATTATCTGCCAGACCTCATTCTAGTCAAACTAGAGGTTCAACAAGGCGGGGCAGGAATAAAAGAAAGTAAGATAGGTTTATAAAGCAACAGGAAGTCTGTAGCCAGGAGGAAAGCTTTAGAGATGCATAGATAAATGAATGAGACAAATCTGATAGTCTATTATCTATGTCAAGTGGATAAATCAAACATGGCTGCATTTTCTAATATAGGCCTGTCTCTCACATATAGCTGATTTTCTTCCTCGTCTTTAAGGTGGAGGCTAGATCCTGGCAACTCCCAGGGACACACTCATTCATTTAATTAATTCTGATGAGCTTTTAATCTTTATGAATCATCCTGACTTGGTTTTTGGAACCTGAGGTATATTTCAATCATTAATCTAGGATTAATCATTTAATCACTCCTAAAAGCCATCTAGTCCAACTTTTCCACACTATACCACTAACCAAGGAAGCATTTTTTTATTAGTACACTAAATATTTTCCTCATCTGAGCTCTGAACCCAAAATTTCCGTCATTCCTTTGTTTATTTCACCATATACATGTGTCCAGTATATAACGTGTCAGTGGGTAAACAAAAAGGGAAAATGTAAGAGCAGGGATTCTTAAACCCACAAACTCCATTTCTCATTCCAACCAGTTTTAGCCAAATTATGCCTCACCACCACCAGCAGCACACTCTTCAAAATTAGATATTCAAGGGAGTAGCACAGGTTAAGCCCTCTCTCCCTGTAGTAAAATTCAAGTACCAATTTGTGGGTTGTGAATCTACAGATTTTTTAAATCATTGGCCTGCTTGCAGAGTCCTCTTTTACTCCCAGCTGATTAGGCTTCAGAGTCAGTTCCTGGCTTGAAGTATGTTTTGATGGCCACCCATCATAGCTGACAAGTGGATTTAATTGAGGGGAATTTAAGGGGGAGTATTTTAATTTCTCACAATGCCATCCAAGGTGATGTTTTGGCAAAAATTAAAATGGCAACTAGACTCACTCCTTTTTGGTATTCAGAGCACCAAGGAGTAAGGTAAAATGTATCTAGCGAATCCCTGCTAGTTTTCCTTCACTCTCCTGTCCCTTTGGTTTGTTGTCTTCTTTTTATGATATCTTTCTTTTGAGACTGGACTAAAATTAACATTCTGTCAAATTGCAGCCTCTCACCTACCTCATGCCTAATGCACAGGGTGCATCCTCACCCCATCCACAAATTTCTAACTGCCTCTGGATGAATACTGGGGTCCAATTGCATACAATTTTCTTCACAGAATCAAGGTCTTAGAAACAGTTGGTTAGCACATCTCATACTGAACAGGTTATTTGTACAATTTGGAGCTGAAGGTGATACTCTCCTCTCATGTGACAGGAAAATCAGTGAAATGGTAGGATTTTACTGATTAAAATAATAAAGCAGAGAGAGACTTGGAAATAATATTAACACTAACACTAATAATGCCCCTGCTGAGTTTCAAAGCAGCAATATTTGACTTTCAAGGCAAAATTTATATTGACTACAGGTAGTCCTCATTTAGTGACCACAATTGGGAAGGGCAACTCAGCCATTAAGCACACCATTGGCTAAGTGAAACCACAACCGTTCTTTGATTTTATTTTAGTTTTCCTTTGCTTTACAGACCTATGAAGATCATAAATGCAAGGAATCATTGTAAAGTTACTTTTTCATCATTGCTGTAACTTCAGTTGGTCACTAAATGAGGATTACCTGTATTGTAGTGCAACAAGTAGTGGTCTAAAAGCCACTAGAGGCCATGGATGGGCTCAGCTGAAGGGGCAGTCCTTTTTCTGCAAAGTAGCCAATGAGCTGCTGAGGATTGTCCATGGGACATTGTAGCTCAACGTGTTTGTTGTAAAGTGGAAAATATGGTACTTTGGACGCCGAGCAGAGAAATGTGCCTTGAGGTTGCTTGTCAGGAAAGTGAGGGATTAAGAGAGGCCCTCCAAAAACAGATGCCTGCCTATTCTAGCAGCAAGACAACCAGGTAGTGCTGAGAAGCTCTGAATCAGCAAGGGAACTGATCGTTATATTTCAGTTTTTCCCATAGCAAAAATGGAAGGAAATCAGTTCAATTTAGGGCTTCTCACTAGAAGACACAGTGATGTTAATGCACCACAACAGTGCCTTTTTCGGCTCTGTATCTATAAAGTTGCCTTCATTTCATCCCCAGTCTGTGGGGTTTGGTGCTCTGTGAACTTGGCTATTTGCTTACGGATGTTTCATTACTAACCTCGTAACATAATCAGTGAAATTACTTAGTTGTCTTATGAAACATTTGTGAGAAAACAACCAAGCTCAGAGAAGACCAAGTATTCAAAGTTCAATCCTGAACTATAGAAATTATCTGTGAGACAGAATTGGTGTTAAAATAACAGTCTAAAGGCAGCCTCATGATGTATAAAATCTGTTAGGCCGTTAGGCTGCTACAGACAGACCTCTAAATAGAATTGAGATAGTTTCATAGTATCTAAGAGAAGGATGAATGCCTTCCATTCATCTGGAACATAATTGTATCATAAGAATTCATCTAGGTATTTTAATATTCATTATTGCACACCTCCAAAATTTGATATCTGAAATTAGTTCACCAGCAAAATGTAAAAATATGAGAGTTACAGTACACTAAAAAAGAGTGTATTTAAAACAATCTATTTCACTCACTTTGATTATTCCAAGATACATTCCTAGTATAATTTTCATTCAGATAACTGAATATTTAAATATGTAGCAATTATTGTTCAAATCCAAAATATGTCAATTCAAAATCCATAATTAAAAGGCTTTTAAACTCAGCTGAAATGCTAGTCTGAGGGCTTCTAAATATTTTTTGCCTCCTGAAAACAGTTCATTTACTACAAAAAGGGAATTTACTATCCAAGGGAAGTTTTTGCTATTCAAGTGAAGCTTGTAATATGCGATTACCCTATCTAAAGATAAGGCTCCTAAACTTTATCTTTCACTTGAAATGTTCCCGTGTTTTTGCACAAATTTTTAACTTTTCTTTTTTTACACAAACAAAAATAAGCCTCACAATTAATAATAGTGATAGTATTAGCCGATTTCCATCAGGGAATGTCCTAGCAGTAGAGTGGGTTTACATCAAGAATGGAAGGGTTTCTGCATCAAAAAGTTCATTAGATTTAATACTAACTCACACATATTTTTTATTGGCTAAATTTATATGCTGCCCATCTCATTATCAAGCAAATCTGGGCTTTCAGGTAATATATCTGAAAACCTTCAAATTAAGATTGTTTTTAACAAGAACAATGTTCTCTGACATGATCAATCAGACAGTTGGGGAATCCAAAGATTTGGTTAGGAAAACAATGCTTGCTTTTAAAAAAAATGTAATAGAAGTGATTTACTTCAAAACTAAATACAGATCTGATTTAAGGTTACAACGATAAAATTCCTTCATGAAAAATGCCTATTATATCACCCTTACCTTACCATCCTCAAAAAATAATCTGTATCTCTTTCATCCTCCCACTAAACTTCTTAGTATATCTGATTACACTGATATAAAATTCTATCATATTTTCTTGTATGCTCTGTACTCATACAAAGGCATATGTTGAATATCCTGGGCAACCTGGTTTTTACCCAATAACTACTACATTATTATCACTATTTGAAGGTCCAGATAATTCAATTTTTTCCTGAAAATAATATACCTATGAAAACATTTCAGTCCTTTTTTTTAGGTTCTATGCTAGCAGCTTCATCCTTCTAGATTTAGGGTTAACAAACCCTCCTATGTGGGATACCCTTTGTACGTTCATACTTCTGGTTCCCAATAATCTCTCTGGTAACCCAGATTCTAAAGGGCACAGTGTGCAGCCCTTTAGAGAATGTCCTACACATAGCAATACTAACTCATTGCTTGTCTACAGTTGTAGGGATACCCCCCCCCTCTTAAAAACATTTCCAGACAGCTTTGCATGATCCCATTACCGTATTGAGTGCCAGGTTACCCCGTAGTGCTGGCGGGGTGACTCCATAAAGCACAGCTGCACCGGCCAATCCTCCCAATACCTGGGCCACCACGTAGAAGACAGCACGGAAGAGGGAAAGCTGCGAGCTCAGCAGAAAGGCCATGGTTACAGCTGGGTTGATGTGGGCACCGCTCACATGGCCTAGAGACTGCACCATGGTGGCTGCTACCAAGCCAAAAGCCAGGGCCACCTGTAGAACATTTGTGGGGCCAACAATCCAGCGAAGGGAAGCCCCCAGCCCAAAAAACACATAGAACATAGTCCCTAAGAACTCAGCAAAAACAGCTCTCCAAAAGGAGGATAAGCGTGCCTCCCACATGATGGGTCAGGGGGAGGACAGAGGAGCGTGCAGCAGGATGGTCTTGAAGCTCACTGCTGCTTGCTGCACCACCCCTCCACCTAAGCCCCTTGTTTTCTATTGTGGCTGTGAACTTTATAAGGTTTGCTAGTATAGTCCAGCCCAGGAGGTGGGAACTTAGATTGATTGATTGGAATCTCTTAACTCTTCACTGTCTGATCTAAAGGTTTAGGCATAAGCCGATTCCTAGCTCCTGTAACTGCTAACAGAGCTTTAACTCCAATAATTCGAACCCTTTCATTTCCATTTTTCTCCTTGCTCAGATGATTTGCTTTCATTTTCTTCTTAGCAGTTATTGTAGTAAGATCCCAAGCAAATGGCTTCAGTGGCATTAAATGGGAAGTAGGGGAGTCCTCCTTCACAATCCACATCAGCAGCTTGGGGGATAGCGGGGCACTTGCATGTCCTTCCCAATGCAGAGGTGCATGACACGGAAACAACTTAATTTCCAACATTTGCAAGCAGCCAGAGTTTTTGACTACTTGTGACATGTCATTTTTGGATCATGTGTGTGATTGCCAGGGAAGTATCCGCTGCTGTCATTGGATATTGTCTCTTGACTTTTTTCCATTGCTGAATTGAAGAGCTCTCAGCTAATTCATGAGTTGCCAGAAAGCTATACTTGTATGGAATTTGCTATTTTGATTGATGATCACTACAGTATTATATATCTGTGCCTCTGTGTGCATCTCCACCGCCACCTAAGTGTGCCAGAAAGTACTGAACATACTTCTTTGTATGTTGCCTCTGTCTCATTATCAGCCTGCTGTGTATGGGAGCATGAAGATAACGTTAGATGTCCTGGAATGCAAGTAGTGTTTTCAATGTTATGCCAGCAATGGACCTCCCCTATGAACAGTCTTGGGAACATGGGAAAAGCTGCTTGAGATAATGTAGCCAGGGTTGATCTGTCATGTTTGCATTCAGACTTCCTCCTTTCATTTGGACACTGGGTTCTGTACCTGTGGTGCACGGCTGTTTTGGCATGGACCAGAAACCAAGCTTCTGCAACCGATTTGTGGTTTATTTTTGTTCTTCTTCTAATGATTCTGTCAAGTGAAATGGTTGCTTCCTAAACTGAGAGACTATAACCCAAAGCACCTGACTGACAGATTTTTCACAGATACCATTCCTATTTCTGAATACCATTTCCACGCATATTACATGGGAGATGGGCAAAGGGTCTTCCCCTGATTTTCTGTTGTTTTGTGAGGAAGATTGGAACCCAACTTCTGCAACTAATCTAGGTGCTGTGTTTTGAAGAATAGGTTGACTTGTCTACCTGCACAGAGATTGGGGGGAAAAAAAACTATTCTCAAAATCCAACTGTTTAACTATACTTATCCAGTGTTGCACAAATCTGGTTGATTGCTAGATGGAAGCCAAGATTTCTCTCTTGCCACTTAAGATTAGTAGGTTGACAGGCCAATAGAGTAATCGTTTTGGGCAAATGTTATGGCATGTATTAAAGAACACCACAGTGTTTAAACTTCTTTTACATATACCCAGTTCTTAGGAACATTATGTCAGTGGCTGCAGCTGAACAGCACAAATTATTAATGGAGGATGGTTATGTTGCAGTCAAGAGAGACAATTCTTCATGGTCAACTAGTGGTCATTAGGCCAATAGTTCAACAATCGTTTGGAAAAACAAAGAAATGGGCAGAGTGCTGGGACCTTACAATCCTTGCCCTAGCATATATCCTATACAGTGATTAAGGGTTGATGACCTTCAGATTTTGGCCAGTGGGGAAACCAAATCCCTGCCTATACAGCATTATGCAGTAAAATTGTATAGCTAGCAACATGGGAAGGTCCTATTCTGGATGCCCAGTAAGGATGCATTCTGGGGCATCAAGATTTAAGTTGATAAGGTTTCCTTAAGGTTCCAGAAAATAAGGAAAACACCACAGAAACAGAAGCATGGAGATGTTCGTGTCAGTACTCTGCTACACCAGATTTACTTCCAACATCATACCTAACAGCCTGATTGAGAACCAGTTTTGGGTTAAATGGTTAGATAAATCAAGGAGACTGTGACTTCTAGTCCTGCCCTAGGAATGAAAGCTGGCTGGGTAACTTTGAGCCAGTCACTCTCTCAGTTCCCAACTCACCTCAGAGGGCTGCTGTTGTAGGGAAAATAGGAGGAAGGAGTATTAGGAATCTTCACCACCTTGAGTTATTTAGAAAAACAATAAAGGTGGAATAAAAATCTAATAAATAAAAAATAGATTTTGCATACCTTGTGACTGTTCTTGAATAAATGGGGAGTAGGGGAAGAGAAATGCTGCATTAAGAAAGAGTTAAGGCTATCTCGCTCATGGGCTGGAGGCAAGATGAAGACATCACTGGGACTCTGCAGAAAAATAATTGTTGTCAGGGGCAAGTTTACGCTAAAGTTAGGTGTGAGTAGGAAAAGATCCAGTGTTTCTTAAGATTCTTTGTGAAATTGTTTCTGACAAGACTGGAAACTGAAGGCATGTCAGTTGTTGTATGATTTTACATTTTCAGTATTTTTTCCTCTTTCCTCCTGGATTCCTTCATAGGATACAATGAGGTAAGAGCTGTTCCACTATTTCCAGCTTAGTTTTGAGCACAGAATGGTCAATATGTCATTAGCAGGTTAAAAAAAAATACCAATACATTGTTTTGTACCTCTGAACCAAATAATTTTTCTTTATATTGTTGGACATTTTTCTCCTAGAAGATTGGGTAGGTAGACCTATCATGTTGATTGATTAAAATCAGCTCAGGCTCTGAATGCTTTTGTTTCTGATATTTTGCCTAGGGTTAGCTACAGGTTTGAAAAGCCCCTCTCTCTGACAAAACTCTTTGTGACATTGTTTTTACTGGCACTGAAAACTGGAAGTACGTCTGATGTTGTATGATATTCTTGTGCTTGCTGTACACTATTTCTCCCCCAACTGTCTTCTTATGATATTTTTTTCTTTTGAAACAATTCACTCATTATTAATACCAGAATCTATTCTATAGCATCTTTAATGCAGGATTACACAACTGGCTGCACAATTTGGTTGGAATAAAATTCCCATAATGTTGGTCATCACAGTGAGTTGATGTAAGGTGGCAGGAGCTATCAGTACAAACCACATTAGTTTATCTCAGGATTTCCACAATTCCATCCAATTTATACACTACTATTTCTCCTCTACTATCTACCCCTCCCCCGAGCTTATAGCTATTTTTAGACTGAGATCTAATGATTTAGCTCACAAGCTGGGGGATAGCATTATTGAACAAGGAGGATGATAGCTATTAGCTGTAAATATTGTTATGATTAAAAATAAAACAAAATAAACTGGTACTCACTAAATAGGATGGGATGCGATTGATAGAATATCACTCCCAACAGTCAAGATATGATGGTCCTAATGGCCAAGATATAATTATGGTTCCTGAGTATTAGTTTGGTGACTAAGGCTTACTTTAGTTGTAGGCAGTTGCTGCTAATGCTACCCTACTAGCTGATGCCGTTGGAATAAGCAACCATAAGGAACTGTTGACAATGCTCTACTGTATTTCAGCCTTCCCAAACTTACTGCTCTGTTGATGTAATTGAACTTCAACTCCTACCATATCACCAATAATCCCTACCAACAAAATATGTTGCATATAAACAGCTCTCATTTATTTTTTAAAAAATGCCATCTTCTACCATAAAGCAAGGTAAGCAGGCTACACGAATCTCTGTCCCTTGGCTGAATGTCTCTTCTGCAACCCCAAAGTGGTATTATCTATGGTTTTTCAGTGGAAAAGAAGAAAAAAACCCAACATAGAAACCCTGCCAAAGGTAGCCTTCAACCCACAAAAGTTACAGATAAGAAAAATATTGTCTGGATCCCTGTTAACATTTCTGAATGCGGAAAGGTAATTGTATAATAAAAAATCTTAAGAGGAAACGCCAGGATGTACCAGGAAACACCTTGGCAGAATTTCTTCTGCCCATCTGAAGAGATTCTGTTGCAGGCCCTTTCTCCTCCCAAGGTACACAGAGTATGAACCAGGCAACAGGCCTTCAAAGGGATGACTTCCATTTTATGGAATACTCTTTTCCTGGAAGCCCAGATGACTCCAGCCCTACTTAAACAAGCTAAAATAATTCTAATCCATGTTATATTCACCCTTAGATCATTAGTGTAGTTTTATGCATTTCTATGATATTTAGTTTTCAGATAGTTTATTATTGGTTTTTATTATTCCTCTTGACCTTGTTATACCCTGCTCAGAATCCACTGGGATTGAGGCCAGTTATAAAAATAAATGAATAAATAAGTAAATAAAGCTAAACTGAGAGAACAACCGAGGTAGAAATATATCTGTGGAGGTGGGGTCTTATGGGTTAATTTCTCAGTGAAGGGAATGAGGATAAAACCAACAGGGCCCTCTGTGCTTCAAAAGAGGCCTCTCTGGAATATTTGTCACCGTAGCATTTTGAAGCAGCTATTTAATCAGAACTGTTCAACAGACTCTAATTCTCTTTCTGCTCTAGGGGATTTATCCGCCTGCTTTGGACTGGGCAAGTTGAGGAAAAACTGCCAAGTTGGAAAGAAGCAAGGACAATGGAATATGCTGGGCTCAGCATTTGACCAGGGCCAGCATGTTTGAAGGACACAGGAGAGGAGAATCAGCATATGCATGCTCAATCACAGCCTCGTATTTTATTGCACATCAGGTCCAGGGGTGGGTGTGAGTGTGTTGGCTTAGGCCTCTTGTCAAACTCCATCCATGTGGCAAAGAGAAACACACTGATTTCCCTGAAATGTTTGCTCATGAGGGTTCTCAGGCTTCCAGAATCTATGCTGGCTTTTACTAGAACTTTGGTTCCACTAAGTCGAATTTTGGAACAAAAAAAACTTCACATAACATTCTGAAGGGAAGAATTTGGAACCTAGGCACTGGTCTTGAATACTGAATATCCACAATCTAATTTAGGAGCAAAGGAATAATATTATGGCTGGTTGTCAAGCAATTGGAAATTAGAAATTCTTGACAATCTAAAATCTATAGAGATTCTCAGTCATGCAGGTCATGGTTGTCCCAAAGGTGCTTTTTCAGGAGGCAACTGGACTTGCTTGTTTTTTTCGTTTGAAGATGTTTCGCTTCTCATCCGATGAGAAATGAAACATATTCAAAAGAAAAAACAAGAAAGTCCAATTGCCTCCTGAAAAAGCACGGTTGGGTCTTGGCAATCTACTTTTGATTGCCCATAGATACAGCAGTACACACTATAGCACCATACAGTATTATAATACAGATGGGACACAGATCTGGAGAAAAGCTTTTGTCCATGGCCGTGCAATAAAATAAAAAGCAGAGTTTGGAACAGAAGGCAGGAGGCTTCGTTTCCAGTCCTTTCTCTCACAGATGGTTACATCTGTCCTTAGAACAGCAATGGGAACAACCATTTTTTTCTTAGATCTATCTCATTAGATCATGGGATCAGCAATTTTGGGGGGGTCAATGTCACATAGGTCTACTCATTTCTAGGGCATTTCATGAGCACCCCCATAAAACCTCTGCTATCATAGGAGTGATCAAAAACAAAATACTCAACAACTGGACAATAGAATTGTTACTGAGCTCCAAATCGGGATTCCCTGCTACTGGACCTTACTTGTATCTCTTTTCCTTGGCAGGCAAACATACTTCTAAATGAAGCACTGGGCTTTTATGTGGCAACCATTTTTAGTCTCTAAGAATACTTCTGAGATCTTTATGGGATTTACATGAGCTTTCCATTTACATGTGTTTTAAATTAAGTGTATCTAAAATCAGTCAGGTGGGTATGGAGACTGATGGTGGCTAAGGAGGAGTCACCAAGTATATTGAAGCTGATGAGCATCACACACTAGGTCTTATCTAAAAACAATGAGAATCTAGGAATCCTGGCTTCTCTCCTTCCTCAGATTACTCTATTTGATTCTATTTATGTTGTAAACTGTGAACAGAATCAGAATTCTGGCAGGGTCATGATGGCAGCACTGTGCTTTAAGAGCCTCAAAACACTTAATGCCAGTACACATATAAATATATATGAAGCTGCATACAGTGGAAGGAAGCTGAACAGAGGCTTTACAAGAAGACAAAGAGATGGGGAATTGCTGTTGCTTTCTACTCAGTGCCATGTTCTTCCTTGTCAGGTGATTTAGCCTGAACAGCAGCAGAGAGTGAAGACCGAGACATGCTGGCTGCCTCCACAATCTCAATGTCGCGACAGGTCAGGCAGGCAACAAGCTTTTCCCGTGAAGCACTGTCAGCAAAGAAGAATTCATAGGATACTCCAGCCAGAACAGCACCCAGAATAGGGCCGAGCCAATACACCTGGAAAGCGAATAGGAGAGATCCTGTGAGAGCCATGATGTAGTTTTTGAAGCAGTATATATCAGCTCTTGGAAGGATGGGGGAAGGTCATATAAGATTCAACAGATTGGCAAGAACATGGTTGTAGCAAGGCTCAAGCAACATACTGGTAAACGTAAGGGATGACTAATAGGGAGAAAAGCAGGGAAACAAATACCTAACATTGGCTGAAGCCAGTAAAGATGGGAGTCTAAGGTAAACCTAAATACTATTTTAAAAAATGGAAATATGTGTTTCTATTCTCCAGCAAGTTCTGGGTAGCTTATATTAATACCTTGAAAATTCAATATAGCAGCAGAAAAATACTTAAAATGTTCCAAGTTACAGATTTAAATGCTGAATATAATCATCCATTCAAGGTCATCCTAAATAGAAACTTCCAGAAAGTTCTCTGACAGGAAAAAGGAGAGTTTCTCTTGGGTAGGCAATCCAGAGACAACTACTAAAATTGACCCCCTCCCTCCAGGGTACCCAAGGGATGGAAAATCTCAGGCTATTCCTCTCCATAGGACTAAGCCGTTCACCTCCATTGCAGTAACTACTCACCCAGTGATGTTCCCAGAATCCTGTGATGACAGCTGGACCCAAAGATCGGGCTGGATTCATACTGCCTCCAGAGAAGGTACCCTAGGAAATATAAGTTTGATACAAGTTGCAATGGTGTTTCAATTCCTCCCTTGGCAGATTGTTCTATGAAGTTTTTCCTGTTTATTATTTTTTTTAAAAAAGGTCGTCTTTCTAGCTGTTGCTGGTGCATTGGCTGGGCTTCAGGGCTATTTATTTGTGTCTCTTGGACGGAACCAGTTTGGGGTAGTGGTGAAGATGCTAGCCTAGGAAACAGAAGACTAAGAGTTCTAATTCCACCTTTGACATGAAAGCCAGCTGGGTGACTTTAGGCCAGTCACTCTCAGGCTAATCCTTCTCACAGGTTGTTCTGGAGAAAATAGGTAAGAATATTTGGTATGTTCTCTGCCTTGTTATGTGCAAGAGAGGTGGAATAAAATAACAATAACAACAAAACCAATAATCCAAAAGGATCCACACACCAGTAAAGAGGATGACCTTGTCAGAGAGAGGAAGGAACCAGTACGAAGATTACAATGAGACCAAGGCGAGAGCTATAGTATTTCTTCATCTATTCTACCTTTTAGAACTGATTGTATGACACATTGTAATTTTTAATAGGGGGAAGGAATTTATTAAATACATAGTGGCATACAGGCTCCAAACTACCACACAATCTTGATGTAATATGGAGAGAGAGAGAGAGAGAGAGAGAGAGAGAGAGAGAGAGATAAAACCCTCAAATTTTATGCAGGCATTTTTCCCCAATTTGTGATATTCCACCTGTTGAAATGTCGGGCTCTGTCAACGAACGACACAGAGCAATCCAGCCACAGTTCAGTTCTTTATTTGCTTACACACAATATGCAGAATCTTGCCAGAGTAACCTTTACTATTCTCACCTGATGGAGATACCCTGGGAGATTCTAGTAAGTGGCTGTCTTGACTCTCTTCCTTTATCTCCTATCCAGCTCTGGGCTGGGCTGTCTTTTTGTCTTGCCCCAGTCCTTGGACTGTGCTTCCTCCTTCCTGAGAAATGGCCACTTCACTGTAATTCATCACATCACATTTCCCCTTTGCAGGGACATCCCTCACAATTAATTATTGTAGTTTTTGGTGGGGCTGTTAGCTCCAAGAGCTCTCTCTTGGATATACTCTGCATTTCCTTCTTCCTCCTGTTTTTTCCTACCAGAGAGAGAGGGAGGCAGGCAGGGAGGGGGGGGGGGAGAAAGAGGGAGACTGGCCTAAAGGAGCTTTGATGACCAAAGTGAACTTGAATTGGAATTTTCCTGGTTCTAGCTTGTAATGGTCTGTGGGAATGGCCTTGGGAGACAGGAGGAAGAGCCACAGACTGGATAACTATCATGTAAAGTTTTTTTTTTTTTTTAAGGACAGGGGATACTTTCAGTCTTGCAAAATTTTGTTAGTGTAACCTTACAATAAAGAAAGAGTTAGTACTTCTGGTTACTCTTCCTGTCTGGACTATCTCAACAGGTTAACATAGCCTAACACTGTGGGAGATGAACATATTTTTTTTATTATTACAGTTAAAGGCCAGCCTCTTAAGATAGCTTCCTAAAATATCCAGAAAATAAAGCAGCACGCAGTGTAACACGTAGGAATGTAAAAAGCAACAGGGAATTATATGCCACAGTTGCTGAGAGAGATGGATTACAGTTTTGCCACTGACTGTTCATTATCTGTTGCTGCACAAAGCTGCTATGCAAAAGTTTACAACCGTAGAAGTAGCAGGAGGCTGCCTGTCCCTGGGTAGTTTAATGGGCAAAAATAGGTTTACTGTTTAGATCTCTATAAAATTTACAATATAGCAAGGCATGCTCAAATGGTTTGACCAGCCATGAAGGGCAGATGTGCTCCTGGTAGGGGTTCCTATTAAAGCTGCCTTCCAGCTGCGCAGATAAAAGTAGTAAGTTAAATTAAGCCTGAGAAAAAGCTCCATGATAGGCATTTTCAAGGTGGCAAGATACTGTATTTGGTAGGCTGCAGATGCAAAATACCAAAACGCTCAACAACCTAATACCTGCAGATGTAGGTTCAATTCATTTTGTTACTTTGCCTTCCAGGAGTTTCTGTTTAAGAATCATTCTAGTTTTGTTACTGTCTGTGGACAGCAAAAAAGAAAAAAACTGTGGATAAAAGCTGTAACTGCATTTTTACAGTGGGATCCATTTACAGAGGATGAACTTCACTGAACAAAAGTGACACGTTAGACCAGGAGTGTCGGACTTGATTTCTTTGAGGGCTGTATCAGACCTTGACGGGGATGGAGGGAGGGTGTCCAGCTTGACGCCACTCGTGTCGGGGGCACCTGTGGTGGCCTGGGCGGGGCTGGGGGGGATCCACTTTAGTTAGTAGTTTGTTCTGCTAGCATTCTGCCAGCAAAAACGGAGCTCAGGGGGGCACGCGCAGCCCTCCTGGGCTCCACTTTTGGCTGCAATGGCCTCCTGCAGCCCTCTGCCAGTGAAAATGGAGCTTGTGGGGGGGGGGGGGGGCCAGATCTAAACACCTCACAGACCGGATCCGGTCTTTGACACCCCTGCTTTAGACCACGATTAAAGATCACCAGCCAAACACAAGTATCTAACTTAATTAACCTTAATCAAAATCAACCTTAATTAAAATTTGCTACTTGAAACATATTTGGGGGAATCTGAAGCTCTGGTATCAGGAAATTGGGTGCACTTTGGAGCGCTTATTTGTCTGGGCTCTTACCGCAGCCAGAGCTCCTGCTATCACAGAGAAACCAATAGCCAAGATCCCAGCAGGCTCCCCTAGTTCATGCCTCCGGTGATCTTCTACAGCAAAAATGGTGAGAGCTAGCTGGAAAGTGGAAAATAGCTCCATCCCCAGAGCCTGTCCAGCATTCCCCTCTGTGCTGACCTAAAATGAAGAAGGGAAAGAAGGAAGGGTTCAGAGTGAAGGCGGAGATCTTCTGCAAGGTCATTCATGGGCTTGATATGTTAACCTGCATAAGTTTTTATTGTCCCATAAAATATTCTGCAGCCCAAATGTTAACTGTTGAAACTGTGCACAGGCCACTTGGATGCAAGACTTACTTGGGGTATATACAGCCTAGAAGAAAGCAGTGGCAAGCTATTTTCACATTGTTGCTAAGAAATCTATGAAGTCAGCAGAAATCAGAGACAGTTCACTGGAATGATTTCAAAACAGTTAATCTATAATATTTGTAGACAGGTTATATTAAAGAGACCTTATGATTTAATTTTTATTTTATGTTTATTATTACAAAATAATAATTTTTAATGTTGCTATATTAACAGAACTGGTGTTATCAAAACAATTCAGATATTAACATGAGTTATAAAATGAATAGGCTGGCACATTTAATGTTTGATGTGAAGACTCTAAATGACAACCAAAATCTTGGTATGACAAAGATTTAATTAAACATACAGATACATTTGTTCCTAGTTTTGTCTTTATAAAAGGACACCTAACAATTTATTATTTGCTATGCTTGAAAATACGTGATACCCATCTTAGATTAAGACTAAAACATAACCTTTATAAATTGCGCATATTCATAGGAAATAAGTATCTTTATTTTCTTTGTGGACGTCTTTCAATGGGGGTTCAGTGGCTCACCTGGGTTTGTCTGCAGTAGAAGCTGGCAGCCCAGATTCAAGATAGGTGCATAGGATGTACCTGAGCACCAAACGATGGGTTGAGTTCCCATCCTCGCTCCAGCTTCTACCAACCTAGCAGTTCGAAAGCATGCAAATGTGAGTAGAGGGAAAGGCAGAGGGAAAAATCCGTATAGATAATTGTAATGGATTGTCTTTCTGTCAGACTTTTGCCCAGCAGGCTAGATTGGAGCCCATTGAAAGGTAAAAAGGTAAAGGAGTCCCTGCGGATTTTACTCTGCTAGTTGTTGCTGACTATAAGGGATGGTGCTCATTTCTCTTTCAAGGCCATTGAGCCAGCGCTGTCCAATGACATTCTGTAGTCAAGTTGCCAGCATGATATCACAGCATGCTGTTACCTTCCCACCGAATGCTGCTGGTACCTATTTATCTACTCACATTTGCATGCTTTCGAACTGCTAGGTTGGCAGGAGCTGGAGCGAGGATGAGAGCTCAATCCATCGTGTGGTGCCTAGGCAGTGGTGGGATTCAAATTTTTTAACAACCGGTTCTGTGGGCGTGGCTTAGTTGGTGGGCATGGCTTGGTGGTCATGTGACTGGCTGGGCGTGGCCAACTCAACATCACTCACATCGAGGCACGCATCTCCTCACTTGGCCTCTCATGACTATGGGGATGCTGCAACAGTTGTAAGTATGAAAATTGTCATAAGTCACTTTTTTCAGTGCCATTGTAACTTTGAATGGTCACTCCACACAAGCAAAGTACCAGCAAAGGAGGGAAAATAAACTCCAGAGAAGTTCCAGAGATAGGAAGTCTAGTCCTGCCAAGAATGTAATAAGGGTTAACGGAGACACAGTTTCTGTAAGCAACACCAGAATGTTTCCTTCCTGCCTTCCTTACAGGATTAGGCCAGTAATTTCTTCTAACAACCGGTTCTCCAAACTGCTTAGAATGTTAACAACCGGTTCTAGCGAATAGGTGCGAACTGGTAGAATCCCACCCCTATGCCTAGGTACATCCTATGTACCTACCTTGGACCTGGGCTGCTGGCTTTTCCAGCCAATAAATTCAGCTGAGCTACTGAACTCATTGAAAGCAGCAACACACATGGAGGAAGATAGTAGCTGCATATATAGGAGGAAGATCAAGCAGAGTCAATGCAATATCAGAACAAGATGGTGTATAGGATGTACCATTGACAAACAGCAGACATGGCAGATATTGGGAAATCCTATTGGTGGCTGGACTAAAAGACAACATTGAGGCACTGATTGTAGCAGCACAAGAACAGGCACTAGGCATCAAATCCATAGAAGCAGGAGTCTACCACACTAAATCTTCAGAGGTCTCAGAGGCAACCCAACACATAACAGCAGGGTACAAGCGCAGGCAGGAACAGCACCCACTGAAAAATATAACCAAGTAGCTGACAATTGTATACAGGAACATCGCACAGTGTATGGGCTAGACCTTTGCAAATCCAGATAGAAGATTCCACAGAAGGTCATGGGAAATAACAGGGCTAAGATCCTATGGGACTTCCAGATCAGACAAACAGGCAGGTAATGGGTCAATCAACCAAAAATTGTGCTAGTAGACAAAGAACAGGGGATGGTGGTGGTGATGGATGTACTGGTGCCAAGAGAGAGCAACAATAGGAAGAAGTATGAGAAGCTGGAGAAGTACCAGGAGGACCCAAAGGAGGTTCTGGAGAGAATGTGGAAAGTAAAGGCCAAAGTGGTCCTTAGTGGTGATAGGAGCACTTGGACCTGTGACTCCTAAGTTGGAAGAGTGATTCCAACAGATCCCAAGAACAACATCAGAGATCTCTGTCCAGAACAGTGCAGTGCCAGGAACAGCTTCTTGAATTATATAAATAAAGACTGGATAAAAATCTAAAATTAAATAAATACATTTCCACGCTTTGCGACAGCTCATTACTTTGCACTTTGATGCAATAGGAGAAGGACAAGAAGGCAATGGGTGGTTGAAAGTTTATACCAGAGGTCTTCAAACTTGGCAACTTTAAGACTTGTGGACTTCAACTCCCAGAATTCTCCAACCAGCATAACTGAAGTCCACAAGTCTTAAAGTTGCCAAGTTTGGGGACCCCTGGTTTATACTATGACCATCTCAGCAGGTGAGAATGAAGTTAGGAAGCAACAAAGAATAAAACAATTCACAAATGTTATGTATACTTAGCAAAATCAGGCTTCTCAAATAGATTTTCTAGGAATCAAAGAACTTTTGGTAGCTGGTGGGTAGCAGTTAAGGTAGTGGATTAGAACTTATGAACCACAAATTCAAATCCATCCTCAGCTTTGAAAATATGCTAAATGATTGGGAGTTACTCTCTTACATCACCCTATTTTATAAGGTTGAGAGAATGGAGGAAAGAGAGATCCCACTGTAAGGAAATAAATCTAATGAACAATTGACAGGAGTAGCATGCTTTGACACAATGAACGAAGGTGGCTTCTTCAACTCCATTTTCCTTTAGCCAGTGGTAGTGATATTGAACCAGGTTACTTAGTAGAGAACAACCACTGTGGGCTCCTGACATAGAGCATTGGGACATGTAATGCAGGCCAGGCAAGTGGCGGGTGAGTGTGTGAAGTTCCATTTGCGCAAGCGGCATATATGCGTGCAAAACCATCCTCTCTTCCACCACCCCCTCCACTCCGCTGCCACCACAACCACCACCACTGCTGATCTGCAGTACTGGAAAGATTGGGGACCATTGCCTTACAGGAAGGGAGATCATCAGGAAGAGAAAGAAAGAGAAGTAACTAGCTTACCTTTGTGACCAATTGCCCAATGGCTGAGCTGGGTAACATGAGATAAAAAAAGCCTGATGCTAAGATGGCACCCAGACACTGGGCTAAAATATAGCTTGAGGCATGCAGAGCATCCAGTTTACGAGTGCACAGGAAGGCCATAGTGATTGCGGGGTTGACTTGGGCACCACTGATCTTACCAAAGCAGTGTGCCAAACTGATAGCTACCAGTCCTGCAGCAAGGGCTGGTTGGAGTGAAGTAGGCAGCACATCTTTAGCGGGGGATGAGGCACCCAGCACTATCCAGACAAAGATAAGGGTGCCTGTGGCTTCTGCCAATAGGCTACACCAGAATTGACGGCTCTGCAATTCCTGGAAAGGAAGGAAGAAGAAAAAAAATTAGACACAACTCGACAAAAAAGATTGGTGGGTTGTTGAGATCTGCCACTAAAATAACCCAATTCCACCCTCTGGTAGGAGAATTTTTTATAAATCAGGGAATTGTGTTTTTTTTTATTCTCCAACCAGATCTACAGAGTAGACCTCTCTGACATAGTTGGCACAACTCCAGGCTTTTCTCTTAAAAGCAATCTTCTTCAATTTGGATCCCACTTAATGTTTTGAGCTACAGCTCCCATCAATCTTGAGCAATATGACAAATAGTCATCACTGGCTGGTCTCAGCCCAACTCACCTCACAGGATTGTTGTGGAGAAAATAGAAGGAGGCAGGTGGATTGAATTTGTTCACTGCCTTCAGCTGTTTGTAAAAATAATAAAGGTGGGATACCAATAAATAAAAAATAATGTAGTCTAAAATATCTTGAGGGCAATAAATCAAAGCTCTTTTTTGAACAATGAAGACAGATTCCAGTTCAACTATGTCTTAATTCTAGAAACATCAGAAGATTCTTCCAGTCCATTGGTTTGCCAATGATAGCCCAGATGCTATAGCTAATCTATAATATAACCCAGCATAGGTCAAACCAGTGTTACAGAAAGAAGGTAGGAAGAGACTGTATAATTAAGGAATCCTGGTAGTTAAAAGAGTTCTATGAAAAGTTATAAATTACTGTTCACCTAATTGTAGTGAAGTGTTTGTATACATTGTTTTCTTTAAAAAATCACCGCAGAGAACAAATTCCATACTTGATCTTGGAAAACATATCTGCTATTATTTCTTTTAATACCTTTGTAATTGGCTCACCCATTTAAAAATAACAAAACAAAATGAAAATATACTTTGAAACAGCTAGTATAGAATATTCTGATTAATAAGATGGAAACATTCATTTTAAGAAAAATTGCCAACTTTTTAAAAAATTACCAGTTGACCTTAAGTATTGGAAAAGATTGTGCTCGAAGGTAGGGGGAGAAATACAGGAAGAAGGATAGAATCTGCTAGGAAGAAAAGAACTGACATTAGAAAGAATTCAGAAAAATAGTGAGTAGGTTTATGAACAAATACATTTTTATTAAAAAAAAAAAAGCCAGGTGGGTCAAAAGATGAAATTTGTCCATTTCTTTTGCTGAGAAACATTCAATCTGTCTATGTGGTTACCAGGAATCAAGGTAAACCTGATGGAGTCTTCATCATTACAGTATCTCAACATTTAAAGAGGGATTGCCTTACCTCCCTGATGCTCATGGTGTCTTCCTTCCAAGTCTGATCTGAGTGAAAGAAAGTGCATTGCTGCTGTCATCTAGTGGTTGACCAAACACTGTCCTCTTCCCACATTACCTGCGTTCTCATCCTTTCTTGTTATCAGCTAAAATCTAAAAGGTGAAGCAGGAAAGAAAAAGGAAGTTCTCAAGCAGCAATCCAGTGGTCAGAAGGACTTAATACTGGAGTTCCTGAGACAGTCAAGACATTCCAATAACCTAGTTTTCTTTGATTGGTGTCATTAACCTACGCTATGCCCTTGTTGCAGCTCCAATCAATAACCTACAATCACCCACATCTCTTCCCCTTCCAGCTTCTGGAGTGAAAGAGTTAGAAATAATAAAAATAAATAAAAATAAAAGGCAAGCTTCCTAGATGTGTGAATAATGAGTTTTTGGCACATCTCAATAGTAAAAGTGTCGAGGCAATGGGCTCTTTGAACTTCATCAGGAAGTCACCTGAACGGGGGTTGTCACAGTTACCAGTGTTCCAGCATGGGATTTATTTTTGTATGATCAAAGGAGACTGCAATCATATTTCAATGAATTTACATGGAAAATGAGTGTTTTCATTTTATTTAAGAAAGGAAAAATCCTACATTAATCAATTAAATATGCTGCAGGGTTTCCAGCAGTGTTAGCGTAAGAAGCATGTCTAACCGAAAATGCACAGTAGGAACTGAGCAATGTATTTTTTGTTTGTTTGTTTGTATTCAAGTTTAAATACAGCCTATTTACACCCCTAGAGAGTACAAAAAAAAAGAAAGTCATACTGGGAATAATGAAGCAGTCTCAGCTGACACACCTAGAATTGCAATATCCTGCCTGAAAATACTCCATATGAACCTTCCATATGCATTCATATAGTACCCACTTTCCTCCTGGTCTTTCATAGAAATTGACCACGTAATGCTTTTTCTTGGGAGCATTCTGTTTTCATTTTATTATATAATTTCAATATTCATGTTTTGTTTCCTGCACATTCAAGAAGTTCAAATATTAAATTGCATCAATGTTTGCTCTTGACTGTCTTTTATGTAATCAGCCAATGCAAGCCTTTGACAGTTTCATTGACTTGAAGTAAACCTCTGTCTCCCATTTCTGGTGTAATCTATCAATATTGCTATGGGGATGAAGGAAGAGGAAGAGGCTTTGCGTGTAAGCTGTAGGTGACAATCAATGGTGTTCTGTACTTCTGTTTTTCTGAGCTGTCCTTTAACAGGCCCTCCTTGGGAATTGATTTGACTATCGACTGATCCCACTAGGTGGGGAGTTCAGTGTCCTGAATATGGATTTAACCCCATTAATTGAGCATCTCAAGGTCAGAACAAACATGATTTTTATTATTTTTATATTAAATGATTGTCGTATAAGGCCTAGGTATAGATGATAGATTTCATGGTATGTTAATCTCATGCTAGTCAAACCATTCTATTCATCAAGTTTCTCAGAAATTGGACTAATAGTAAGATATCATACTGATTTCTTTTAAAAGTGAATAGCTCTTCTTCAATAGTCTAGTGCAGAGGTCCCCAGTCTATGGTCTGCGGCCTACTAGTGGTCTACGAGGGAATTGCACATGTGCACACCACTCATGCAAATTGAGCTGCGCATGCAAATTGCCAGCCACACACGGAGAACCATTCCCTCCCTATGGAAGAGGGACATTTATATATATATAAATGTCCCTACGGGCATTTGACTTTTATTTATAGGCCAACCTTCCAAAATTATTTTTTCAACCGCTTGAAGTTACACATCCTGATCTTTAATCTGTAGCTTTATAGTTTTAATTGGCAATGAATCAGTGTCCTCATCTTTTCCAAAACTAGGCAGGAAGACACAATTCAGTGCATCTTCCAACATAAGGGTTTCTCCTAGATAGTATTAGTTCTCAGTTTATTTCTATAAGTGTGTGCCATCATTTCCTGTGCTCATTTCAGTGTGCTAAAGGGGGACAGCTGTCATAATTATCTCTGCCCTGTGCTTTGGTTTCAGGGGCCATAATTGTTCACATTCTTGTTCTGTTGCTGACAAGCCTCTGTTTGCCTGTTCATTGTATTGCTTATGGTGAAGAACAGCATCCAATCCCTTTTGAAATGAATCATAATGTAGGTAATATTTTAGAACAGGGACATAACAGACCTAAACTCTCTGCTGTAGGTCTGATTGTCCCCACTGTATAGTTGGTTTTGTCAGCTGGTATACAGTAGTAGCTCTTCTTTGATTGCCAAATGGAAACAGGAATTTGGCAAGAAATTATTTATTCCACAAAGCACAGTACAGTACTCCAATTCTATTGGTGGCATATTCCAAATTGCTTCAAATTGATTTTATTTATGTAGAGTACTTATTTATCACAGAGGTTTTTATACTATTTTAATAATCAAGACTCTAAGCAATTCATAGCAGTAACATAAAAAGTATTGGAACAATAACCATGCAAATCATAATATTTAATAATAATTAACAATTCTTTTTGTTGTTGCATGCTGTTCAGAGTTCTACAGCATTTGAGTGGCATATAAATACTGTAAATAAATACAGGCAGTCCCTGAGTTACAAATGAGATCCGTTCCTAAATCTGTCTTTCAGTCAAATTTGATGGTAAATGGAAACAGTTATTTAGCATCAGTCAAATGTTTGTCTTAATATATATTTTACCATTTTATGCCCATAAAACAGAAGAAACCCTTTTGGAACCTTTTAATAACTAATCCTTGATACAAACCCCTTCTGGAGCAGCCATTTTTGTAGGAATCAATCTTCTGAATAATAGAGCTCCTCTGAATATGAATAGTTCTTACTGTTGACAAAATATGATAAACTTTTGTCTAATAAGATAGGTGAAAGAGTCAAACTGTGGTAACCCCAACCAAGCATCCAAACACCTTTTTATGTGCATATTTTATGTGCACCTTATTATATGGGGTCATCTTACCTTCTTTAAAACCCTCCTGTTTCCTGCTATAGCAGGGAAGAGGGAATGGCCTTGAAGGCAGGCGGAAGAGCTGCTATTGAGGCAATAGTCAGATAAGAGCGGATTGAGGCTGGGCCAAAGATACATGAGAAAACATCTCAGACAAGCCCCTCCCAAGTTCACATGAAGAAAGAGTGAGAAGCACATTCAGACCTGCAAGATGCCATTATAATACAATAAAAATAGCACTGACCTACATGGCATTGGTTTCTTAATCTGGTATACCTTGTTAAGCTGACATCTGGAGACCTCCCTGCTCCCCTCCCCCCCAAAAAAGAGTGTGGCTTCTTCTGTCTTAATTGAAGCAGGAAGGGAATGTACCCCAATATCCAAAGTGCACTATTAGGCCTGTCCCTAGAGGAAACCTGTACTTGAGGCAGCTCAGATTAGGCAGCAACAGGAGCATTTACCTCAACAGCTACTGGAATCTGAGAGGCTGCAGCCTTTGCTTGCCATGTTGTTTGCTGTCATGTCAGCATTTCACTCAGCGAAAGCAAGGTCTGGTGCTGACCTCTGGTTGACCTAGGTTCCCCCATCTCTCTGTTTGTCCCCTTTCTGTGGCTGGTCTTTGCTGACTTATTACAAACAGCTAGAACAATCCTGCCAGTCAAAAGGTAGCAACCAAAGTCATCCATCCACACCCTATTGTAGTCATGTGTCCTTGCTCCATTGAATTAGGGTTTAGTGGAGACTTGGAAAGCCACAAAGAAAATGAAGGGAGCAATTCACAGGAAAAGAGAGGCAAAAATGAGGTTGCCAAACATTTGCAGGAACTTGGAGCAATTTTTTTCCACATTAAATGTGTAGTATCAGGGAACACCAATAAAAGACTTCTAAATCAAAAGCTGGTGTCTTCCTGACAAAGGTGAGTTCTGGTAGTCATGATCAGAACTCACCTTTGTCAGGAAGACATCAGCTTTTGATTTACCCTTTCACTGTGGTTATAAAAGCTGGATCATCAGAAAGGCTAAACAAAGAAAATGGGATACTGTACCTTGGAATTATGGTGCTGAAGAACATTAGATATGTAGTGGTGTAGTGAATGGCATGGGAGTAAACTAGATTTAGCTAGATTTCCTTTTTTCTTTCTTATATTATCCTTTTAATTCTTTGGCATATTACTTTTTTATGCACCTTGAATAGCATTGATTCTCCTGAAAGAATATACAGTAATATACAGATCATTTCTGTATTTCATTGATAAATTTATAGGACTTGAATCATACCCCCTCTGCTTGATCTTACAAGAAAGGCAGAAACTATTGACATGGGTGGTCAGGTCCTATAACATGAAGGGCTTAATAGATGGTAAGCAGAATTTTGAATTGCACCCAGAAGCTGACTGGAGATCACTGCATCTCATGGAGCAGTTGCTGTCATGTGGCTATTCTAAGGGATGCCCCTTACTATCTGCACCACCATCTTCTAGACCTGTTGTAGCTTCAAAATGATCTTCAAGGGCGGACCCACATAAAGCACATTGCAATAGGGCATTTGCGAGATGACTGCAGCATGAGTTTGAAGGGTCTCCTAATCTAGGAACAGGCACAATTGATGCATTAAATGAACCTAAAGAGGTCCTCTTGGCTATAGCTGCCACCTGCTATTTTGAGGTGGAATTGTAAATTCAAGATGACCCACAGGTTGTGCATCAATCTCAAATGGAGAAGTGTCACAAGTATTACAAGAACTTCATGTGCATATTCAGATGAAGTGGATTTATTTTGTAGAAAGCAAGGATTTTGTTATTTTCCATATAGTACTGGTACTGTACTTTTTATACTACCACACATTACAGTGTACATGTAACACACATATCCATATTTACTGTACTGTAATAGTGAAATCCCAATTCCTCTAATTGAAAAGACTGATATATAAAACATCTGCATATCTTCATCATTTCGTTTTTCAGAGGTGTGGGGCAAGGTAAGTCAGAGGAAGAGTCATGAACGTCAGAACTATAGTACTCTACTACACTATGTATGTTGAGCTTATGTTTGGGCTGTTGTGCTTGGATAAGGGCAAAAATCTTGGATAAAGGCAAAAATGTGGACTAACAATATTTGTCATTTCCATACTAATGATTTATTGCATCCTATAGCATTCTACAGCCATTGGCTGTGCAAATATATCAGTAATGAGGACAGGGTTTGTATCGCCCTGGTGTTGGCTGGAGGATTTTATGTTATATATCTCCAGTGCCTTGTCAAATTGTTATAATGAAGCATGCACAATGAATATTAAAATATCTATCCATAAGAAGCTGCTGCTTTACCAAATTATTTTTTTCCAGGATGACAGGATTAATTATTCTTCATACACAATACTGCTTCTTGTAGGCAGCCCATGGGAAAAAGGAATAAATTGCTGTTGAATTCATTTAACACTAGTTCTGCTAGCCAAAGCAAGAGCAAGCTGTACATTTCTAGTTGTTGATTCAGGAAGAAACCAGTTAAAAAGTTGTAGTACAATCCAGTACAATCTCTGAAATCCAGGAAGATTTTTCTACGGCTGCCAAAAGTCACCATTCCATTCTTTAAAATATTTGTTCATAAAAAAAAAAGTGTCACTTCCTGCCACCCCCACAGAAAATTAACATCTTGGGGGAATAATTCATGTTGGAAAAAATAACACAAAGGCTTACAAAGATTCTCATAGTACAACAATCCTAGAACATGAGTTGGGTTGAACTTTATAGGTCATGTAATCCAACTTCCTACTCTACGCAGAATTCTACTAAGAATTCTACTTCACAAATGCTATCCAGTTGTATTTAAAAAACAGCAAGGGAGTTGAGCCCTGTCCTGTGCACAGTAGATCGGGATTGCCAAACCCAGGTGGCGGACCCATACCTGGCTGCAGAAGTGAGTAAAACTGCATCTGTGTATGCACATGATCTAGGTAGCGCATGAAACAAAACCCACCACCCCGTCTGTGAAAAAATTGCCTTTTTCAGAAACTGATCCCTGCTGAGAAAAAGGTTGGGGACTGCTGCAGTAGATGGTTTCATTAATCAGGAAAATCCTCCTAATATTCATCTGTCCTTTCTTTTGATTTCAGTGTGTTGCTCCTTGTCCTGCTTTTGATTTCAACACAGGAAAAACGTACCTCTCTCTTGTATATGATAGCCTTTAGATAGTTTAAAGTAATATTTTCCATTAGGCTTCTTTTGGGCAAGCTAAACATTATTCAGGGCCTTTAATAGTTGTTTATAAGATTGGATTTCCAGAGCCTAAATCATCTTGGCAGCTCTAATTTGAATTTACTCCAGGGTCTCCAGATCTTCTTTAAGAGATGGTGTTCAATACTCCAAGCCAGGTGATCTAACCAGCACACTTTGCAGAGGAATGATTAATTCTGGGAATCAAATACTTTTTTATAATGCAGCTGAAGTCTTTTGCTCCATCGCAATACTTCTTCAGGTTGGCTGGGGTCCAGCAGTATTTCCTAGGTCTTTTACATATAATCCAGTCCCTTTCCTTCCTTTTCCTTATCCAATATACATTCCTTTCTATTTTCTCCATAACAATAACCCTGTAAGTCGAGTTGGGCTGAGAGAACAACTGGCCCATTTAAAAATCATCCCCAAAACTTGAATTACATAATGTTGCCAAAAACTTGCTTTAGGAAAACAAATGTCTCCAGACATTCAATTTCTTAATGAATTTACAAGATGGAAATTGAGGTATTGAGCAATACATTTTTGGCTATGAGGCCAAGGATCAACTAGAATAGTACGATCTTTGGTTCCCAAGTTTAATAATTCTTTATACAATTAAAAAAAAACTTTAGCCCATTTAAATAAATGTGTGTTTCACTATTGTTATCATATTAATAGAGCTGCTGGATTTTAAGACACAGTATATTTTTTTTTTCTTATATAGTCTTTTACTTACAACAGTTCATTTCATGATTGTTCAAAGTTACAATGGCATTGAAAAAAAGTGACTTATGACTATTTTTCACTTATGACTGATGCAGACTCCCCATAGTCACGTGATTTACATTCAGAAGCAGACTCACATTTATGATGGTTGTACTGTCCTGGAGTCATGCGATTCTCTTTTGCAACCTCCTGACAAGCAAAGTGAATGGGGAAACCAGATTCACTGAACAATCCTATTATTAATTTAAGAACTACAGTGATTCACTCCACAAATGTGGCGAGAAAAATCGCAAAATTGAGCAAAACTCACTTCACACATTTCTCACTTAACAACATAAATTTTGGGCTCTATCGCGGCCATAAATTTAGGACACCTGTATTCCAAACCATAGAAGCATGTTCTTCCTTCTGTCTTTTTAATTTTTAACCTTTTTGTCTGATGAAATTGTGACAAAACGCCAAAGTTTGCATTTTTAACCTACTGTAGATTTAAAAATGCATATAAACTTTTTTCTTCTCTCTCCCTCACATAGAAAATCGGCCTACTTTTCATCGAGCAGTTAATCAACGTGGGAAGCACGTGATACCAGATAGTCCATTGGAAAAGAAGCTTCTTTTCAGATTAAAATGGCTCCGCGGGGATGTTTTCTGAAGATGCCGCGCCCTAAAATAAGATGGCGGCCTCTAAGAACGCGTCCGGTATCTACAATCCAGCCCTTTGAATTTCAAGATGGCGTTTGTCAACTATAGGTTGGCTCAGTTATGCCCGCCTCCAAAATGGTTCCCATATTTATCTTCAGGTCGCCAGTTTCACGTGATCTATGAATTACAAGATGGCGGCGCCCATCCTGAGAACCATGAGAGGTCAGGGCTGCGGTTTGTGTAGCCTCGGATATCGCCAGATGTTCCGGAGAGGTAGAAAATTTTGTCCTTTGCCTGATAGAAAACTGGCTGGTCGCAGTGAGCGGCTAACGCTGCAGCCAACACTCCCACGGTTTCTTTCGTTCCTCCAAGGCTTTGGCTACGTGTTTGGCACTCCGATTTACTCCTTTAAAGTGCTTCTGTGCCCTTCACTAGTTCGGGAGCAACAGAAATTCAGTAGTAAAAATCTCTTTGAAACAAAGCGTCTTCTGTTGAATTTTCCAGTCATGCTGCTGTTTAAGATTTAAGTTCAAGATGAATGGACGTTTTTTTCTGCTAGTGGGATCCGGTCTTTTAATAAACCGAATATCTTTTGGAAATTAAAGGATTTGATCCGATAATAATTTTGTTAAGGCAAATATCAATTTACTTCTTTTAGTGAACGGGATTATTGGCAGAGGGATTAAATAAGCAAAGGGGAAAAGAGTGCAGATTTTTCTAGTTTGGGAAAATGTGTATTTTTCAAGTGAATGTGAAAATCCTCAGCGTGAACTGAACCTACTCATAACCATCTTAAGTTTCATTGAGATTGTTTCCAAGTAAACTTGCTTAGAGAGGTTGTATTTAATTAAATATATGAATAAACGGGAGTGATACTTAAGACAAGTTTTTAAAATATTTCCTTGAGTTGGTAGCTTTCTGTTATATTCATTATATGCACTAGAAACTTATCTGGGAGGGTGATTTAATTTTTTCCGGTTTTTTTTTGTTTTACCAATGGTTCACTTGCTTATATTTTGCTCCACTGTATTTTATTTTTATAGTCTACTTCCAGGATCTCTTGGCAACTTTAAGTCTTGTGGACTTCAATTCCCAGAATTCCCCAACCAGTATGGCAGGTTGGGGGATTCTGGAAGTTGAAATCCACAAGTCATAAAATTGCTAAGTTTGGAGGCCCCTGATCTAGTTCATTGCTATGAGTAACACTTTTTGCCTAGAAAGAATTTTAGAATACGTAATAATTGGCAGATCTATCCCCAATTAGCATACAGTGGATAGCTTTCAAAAATTGTCCTGGAATCAGGTGCCCACTAATAGTAATATACACTACTATTCTGCCAATGACTGGTTACTTGTTCGTAATAAAAAAAAAAACTTCCATCTTTATATATGCTGATATGGAAAAATTATTACTACAAATAGATATTACAAATATTATTACAAATAGTAGCTTCTAAAACACCATCACTCCCCCCACCCCCATCCACCCCCATCCAAGATTAGATTGGCCTTGATCTTACCATCTCTTAGTAAAAGTATTGCAAAACTGGATGTGCTCTAGGGCATGGAAGCAGAATGTTAGATGGTCCATGAGTGATCCTGCCATAGTCTTGTTGAATGCTTTGGGAACAACTGTACCACAGTTTTTAAAATGTTTTGTTGATACTATTCTCTTTTTATTTTTTGTAATGTGTTATGACCCACACAGAATTTAATTTGTAAAGTGGATATTCATAACAATTGATTTAGTAAATAAAATTCTTTATTTGGTGACAGAAGGTGAAATTTTGGTAAGATGTAACCAAACTCTTTTTAAATATTAAATGTTTCTTATCAGATAATGAATGTCTTGGCATTGCTACTCAATACTGCTATGTATTCATAGGTTAATCTTCTCTGCTCTACATTTCACTTGTTGGATTGTGTGCTATAAGAATCGTCAGTCAGCATACAAGTTTTATAAATTTATGTAAGATTTGGGCACAAATGGGCATTCCACTCCAAAATACTGAATCCCCTCCAAATTAGTATATTAACAATTGCAGCACTTGTGGGAATCAATCCTACGAGAGATATAGGTTCTTGATAAATCTTGCTATTAATGTATTGCCATTTAGTTGGATACCATTTTTAAAAAATTTGGTATAATTTTAATTATTAAATCCATTAAAATGTTGGTTACATATGTATATATTGTAGCAAGCCTTTTCTGAAATAATTTAGTTGTAAAATGCAGGTGCATAATTTTAAGGAAAAATATTTCTGAACTATAACTGTATGCAAACTGATGCAAGCTTAACTCAATCAGCTATGTATATTTAATTGAATGAAAGAGAAGCATTTGCTAAACTAATCATTATGTATTAGTTTTCCTGATACTTTTAACTGGATCTTCTAGAACTCTTGGCCTTTGGCAATGTTAGTTGGGAATTCAGGGTATTCTCAAAGCACCTGAAGGATACCAGATTGGAAAGACTTGATTAGCCAAAATATAACATTATTGAAGGATTAATAGAAATGTGCTGCTGTCAACAGGAGTTGGTAAATTATTTATCTAGTTAGGAAGACAATTCTTAACAAAGGAGTTATATATAAAAGTAAAGCAAAAGTTTGATCCTTATACATATTTTTCTTGTTTCAGAGATCAGTTTCAAATTAGATGAGAAAACAGCCCACAGCAGCTTGGATTTATTCAAAAAGGACACTGGGGTCCTCTATCGTATGCTGGGGATTGACCGTACCAGAGTGCCTCAAAACCCTGAACGCTTCAGAGACTGGGCTGTAGTTTTGGGTGACACTACCATCTCCAGGGGCTGCCATTACTGGGAAGTGACTGTGAAACGATCACAACAGTTCCGCATTGGGGTGGCGGATGTGGACATCTCCCGGGAAGTCTGCATAGGAATGGATGACAATTCCTGGGTCTTTGCTTTTGGGAATCGCTGCTGGAATGCCATGTTTGCTAATGAAACTACTCCAATCACTAACATTGGCCAACCAGAAAGAGTCGGCCTATTCTTGGACTATGACCGCAAAAGATTCAGCTTGGTAGATACACAACAACACATGTTTATCCACAATACGTCGCCAGAGTTCCGAGGTCCTGTGGTGCCTGCCTTTGCCCTCTGGGATGGTGAATTGCTCACCCACTCAGGCCTGGATGTGCCTGAGAAGCTCAAGCAAAGTTGAAATCTATTCAAGAGCGTTGATACTGAGATTTTTTTCCCCCTCTTTCCTTGCCTTTTGAGAGTTAAATTTGCCATCCTTTACTTGTGCCATATTTATCTTGCACTGCTATTTTGGTTTTGTCAGGAAAGGGTTGCTTTAAAAATGAGTTTTTTTAAAGCAGCAATTGTTTATGTGATCAGCTGCACCATTTGATACCTTACCTCATAGGTCTCTAGTTCTGTAGGAGTCAGGACATTCTCTTCTCCCACTGTGTTGCAGAACTATTCCAGAAATTATTCTGCCTCAGAACCACCAAAGAGCCAGTCAAAGTCATTACCACAAAGAGTAGTTGCCTTAGGATAGATGGTTTTCAAGACTTCTACAAATCCTGTTCCTGTCAATGGCCTCCATCAGGAAAGGTCTGGAGCATCTCTATGTGAATATGTTTGGATTGTTCCTCTAAGCCATTTGCATCAAACATAAGCAAGCAATATCTCAATCTGACTATAAAAGGACCACTTGATGCCCTTTAATTATATAAGATTTCCTTTTCCTGTTAGAAGTATTTGCTTAAGCTTTCAGATATTTGAAGGAGATTTCCATTTTGATAAGAACAATGATTTTTTTTTAACACAAAGGATCTATTGCCTCCTGCTGGTGGGGTGGGAGGACAAAATTAGCTTGGAATTGAGTAGATGGCATCTCATGACCAGTGAAAATCCAACTCTCCCGAATTTATAAACAGTACAGTGCACAAATTAATGTTGTGGGAATTACTTTATTAATACCAGCCCCAGATTATCCTGTGTTAATTGGTTGAAACAATAAGAATTGACCCAATACACACCTGCAGATACATATATTCATCGAAAAGGAATGATAAAGAATTTGCTACAGTTTATTACAATCACCATAATTAAAATTTAGCTGAAAACAGCAAATATTCAAGCAGTGTTTTCTTTTTCTTGATGTTGGATGTAGCAAGAGCTGTATGCTCTTCTGTATGCTATGTTGATAACTGTAATAAGTAAAAATAAAAGCATCTAAAACAAAACGTTATTTTATCTGAACTTCTGATTGAAAATATCCACTGTTTGGAAATTTTATCACCAAAGAATGCACATAGTAGTTAAACAGTCTAGATGGTCTAGCCTACCAACCTTGCAAGAGTGTCAGGCTGGCAGCAACAGTGAAACGTAGCATTGTACTGCTTCAAGGTTTCAGTTGTTCCTGTTCCATAGTGACTGATTTATGACGGGTATTTTGTCATTCTACTCTAAAATAGCTGAACACTTTCATTGCAGCAGTAAAGTAGCTGCTGAAAAGAGAGGTGCAGGAAAAATTATAGTGCCACTTCAAGCAGCTGATGGAATGTCTTTTGCCACGTTAGAAGAACATTGCAAGATTGCACATATTAGCCCTCTGGAATTCAAGGGGGACATTTCCTGTGTGGCAATGCATGTGCTTAGGATTGGGCAGCATTTTTCTATATATGGGGGTAATGACTGAACCTGAAGTATCTTTCTCCATACATGTGATCAATTTTTTGGAGTGGAGGAAATGACTGATTGGGGTGTGAACAAGTATTTGAAGTAGTGACCCAGAATACGAGACAGCAACAATGTAGATAAAAGGAAAGCTATTTCCCCATTTTTGCTTTCCGTTCTGGTGCTCGTGTAAATTATTTTTAGCTTCTTGAGTTTGGCTTTCTCAAAATGGAGGCTTGTGAGTGACTGCAAGTATCATAGAAGTCATGTTGTGATTGTGCATGTAACATGTTGATGAAAAGTTTCAATCAGCCAGATAGAGTGGTTTGAAGGTTGTCTGAAAGTTGTCTGGTTGAATCATTGCAACTGGACTAATTTTTTTGTTGTTAGTTTGAGAAATGTTTGTGCATGTAACGCACAATTTCTGTTGGCTAAGCGAGACAGTTGTTAAGTGAGTTTTGCCCCATTTTACGACCTTTCTTGCCACACTGTTTAAGTGAATCACTGCAGTTGTTAAGTTAGTAACATGATTGTGTGAATCTGGCTTCCCCATTGACTGCTTATCAGAAAGTTGCAAAAGGTGATTGCATGACCCTGGGATGCTGCAACCATCATAAATATGAGTCAGTTGAGTTGCCAACCATCTCAATTTTGATCACATGACCATGGGGGTGCTTTAATGGCCACAAATTACTTTTTCCAGTGCCTTATAACTTTGACTGGTCAGGTAAATTAACTGTTATAACCCAAGGACTACCTGTATCTTTTTGCTGCATGCGCCTTACGTCATTCTAATTCATTTCTTAAATGCCACAATGAGAGTACTATATTGAAAGAAGTTATGCGGTGTCATATCAAAAAGTTTTGCTCCCAAGTGCAGAATATATTGTATGGCTTCTAGCAAGCAAGGCAGACCTGGGAAATGCATAGACAGCATCCCCTTTTTGTAGCCCCCACCATTCTATCAAATCACACAATCAAAATTTGATATCATGCTTTTTTTTGATGGAAACAAGTAGCAGAATAGATGCACTATATTTCTAATTTGGTCATCAGCTACTGCACTTTAAAAATCAGTTCCCTAAAAAGTAACAGTTATATCTCCACACCCTCCAGTGGCATAACTGTATTATGAGATAGCCTTGCAGCCTTCTCAGATGGTGTGGGTGTAGGAAAGGGAGTGTAACTGAAATAGCAGAAATGGTTGACTATTTTTGAAGGTGGGGACAGACAAAAGTCAGAATTCATTAAAGACAAATATGTTTTCCCTTCTTGCTTAAATACCTATTGGGGGAATGGTTGGACAAGGGAGATAACAGATTCATAGTGGAGAAAATGAAAAATATTCACTGTGGAAGCTTCATTAAGTTACAAAATTGAAGGAGACAGGAATTGAAGAACCCTTTTTCCTTAAATGCGTTTAGCATTTATAGTGATAGCTGCTTGGATTTTATCAGGCAACCCAAAATGGCTGTTGAGCATTCTTTTTCTCCTTTTTCTGCAGCTAAAATTTCTTTCTCACCAAAAGTTACTATCTCAATTCCTGGGGATTTTATCGATTTTACTTGTGCTGTCAAAAGGGAGTACTGAACTTTCATACAAGGTTCACCAGAGAGAGTCTCTTGTACAAGACAGTTATGGAAAAATACAACTCCACATTGCTCAACCGGATGGAGTAGTTTGGAATGAAGAGAATGTAGTCTCTCCCTTTATATGTCTCTCTTCTTCTTCAAGTCCTTAGCAGTAGCATGTTTACCCTTACACTCCTTTCAGAAGTGAGATGAACTAGTCAAAACAGGGATAACAAAGCAATTACAAAAACTATCGTTCTCACACCATACTTTCCAAATTCTCCTTGGAGAGATCCTCAGCTGCTTCTTTGGTCTGTCTGGAACCTAATATGTAGCTTTCTTGATAATCCTTGAGCAACTTCACCACTTCCAGATGATGAAACTGGACGGCATCATCCAAGGCAATGTTTCCCCATCTGCAAAGAAGGCAACACTATGAAGATGTGTAAATTGTAATCAATGTCTACTGAAAGCAGCTTTTCTCAGCCTGATGGCCTCTAATGGGTTGAGGCTATAACTCTTGTAATTTCTAGCCAAAGGCCATAATGATTAAAAATCCCGGGAATTATGTTCCCAACTTATATTGAAGATGTCAGAATGGAGAAGACTGTTCCAGGTGCTGAGGAACAACCAAAAGCTTGAATCACCTCTTTCTCAACTAAGCAGATTGTCAATCCTGAAACTGACCTGACAGAAGCCATTTTTGACAGATTCAGTGTTGCCATGCTGGAAATGAGGGATAGGGAGGGGGGATTTGAGATAGTTGAGATACTGTGGCCAAAACAAAATATTTTCTCTTGGAAACCAAGGACATTCTCACACCTGGTTGGAGGAAGGCAGAGTGATGTCACCCGGCAGCCAGACCGCACTGTGATTGGATCATGTGACTTGATTGTTTTGAGAAAGTGGGAAAAGTTTTACTTTTAATTAGGTGAAAACTGTGGAAGTCCTCAGAGTCAGTTTTCACCAGATCTGTGCCAATATATTTTCAATGAAGCTATTCTTTGAGGAATCTACCTGCCTTGGAGTTTTGCTTGATATGGAATTATTACTTGGAACCCTGACACAGATCAAAAGTAAGTATTTGTGGATCAGGTTCTATATTGGCTTAAAATTAGGACAATTTATATATCCCCCCACCAAGTACTATATTACAAAGATTACTTGATAATTTTATACTATGTTACAAAATAAATATTATTAAAACAAGTAGGGCTTTATATTTCTGGAGTATGAAATCATGTTGCATTACACTAGGTAGGATAAGTTCTTAGGCCATCATTGTTCAATGAAAATCTCCCAAAAGCATGATATGTCAAGTGATAACGTTTCCCCAAAGTTATGACACACTTTATTGACACAAGGAGTCAGACTTAGTACTGTTATGGCAGTGTCTGGTGTACCAGGGGAAAAAAATAATAGAGACTTGTCAATATCCGACTCTGAATTAACAAGCATGCTAAATTGAAACAACAAATTAGACCTCAGGTTACCAATATATGAACCTTCTTTCTACTCTGGATCATTGACTGAAATGCATCCTTTTCTCACAACTAAAGGAGAGAGAAGCTAAATTACAGTTGAGACCTTTAGATATGTATAGATGTCATGATAGTCACATTGCATTAGACTAAACTTTTATTTTGTTCACAGTTCGGTTCCAAGAGAGGCCAACCAGCCCTAAAACAAGTTATGAGTATGCAAACTATTTGAGTAACAAGAATAAGAAACTAACTTGATCAAGGAGTTTTAGACAGAGAAAGAGGAAATATATTATAGGCAGCTGCTGCTTATGCTGAATAAAGCCCCTAACTTTGCTATTAGGAGAAACTGGGTCTAAGATTTTATAATTCTGTAAGTAAAAAACAAGATCTTGAATCTGTAACTGTCAGACCATTGTTCCTCACCTGTCCTTGACAAAAGGATTGATTCTGCAGGCCTCCATCAGAAACTTCACAACCTCCAGATGTCCTGTGGAGAATCATACAACTGGAACAATTTAAAAAGAGCCTCTTCTCTCTTTCCAAAGATGAGCTTTTGAACTACTCCCAAAACATCATGCAACATGGAACCTAGTCTACAGAGTTCTTCAAGGTGAGGGACTGCAGAATGGGGGCTACCAAGAAAGTCACCGCAGATATTTCAAGGATGGAAAAGTTTGTTTCTGTTCAGTTATGTAAGCTCTCATTGTAGGGTGCAGATTTCTAAAGAATCTCTTGCTGTTCAGCGACACAGATCAGAAGAATTGACAAATTAAGAGTTATTCTGATACCGTACATGTATGTTTCTCAGAATGCTTACACCATCTCTCAGGAAATGTACTTTGGGGAAATTATTGTGATTGTGCAATTAGAGGTCCCCTGTTGCTTTTTTTTCGAGAGCAACTGGACTTTCTGATTTTTCTTTGAAGACAGATTAACAGAGTTGGAAGTGACCTTGTAGATCACCTTGTCCAAACCCTCACCCAAGCAGGAGACCCTACACCATTGCTGACAGATGGCAGTCCAGTCTCTTCTTGAAAGCTTCCAGTGATGAAGCTCCCACAAATTCTGAAGACAAGCTGTTCCATTGGTTGATTGCTCTCACTGTCAGAAAATTTGTCCTTATTTCCAGGTTGAATCTGAAGACATTTTGCTTCTCATCCAAGAAGCTTCTTCATCTCTAGGAAAAGTCATATCAGAGCTGAAGAAGCTTCTTGGATGAGAAGCAAAATGTCTTCAAAGAAAAAACTAGAAAGTCCAGTTGCCTCTTGAAAAAAGCACCTTTGGGACAACCATGACCTGGGTGACTGAGAATCTTCATAGACATTTAGAGATCCCATGCTTGCTATAAGAGTGAGCCTTTTTATTTTGGAGTGAGACAGCATCCTTTATTTACACCCTTATTTTTAAAACACTTTAAAAATACCCTCCATTTAATATAGGTAGTCCTCAACTTACGGCCACAATTGAGCCCAAATTTTCTGTTGCTAAGTGAGACATTTGTTAAGTGAATTCTGCCCCATTTTACAACTTTTCTTGCTACATTCGTTAAGTGAACCACTGCAGTGGATAAGTTAGTAACCAAGTTGTTAAATGAACCTGGCTTCCCCATTGACTTTGCTTGTGAGAAGGTTGCAAAAGGGGATCGCGTGACCCGGGGACACAGCAACGGTCATTAATACGAACCAGTTGCCAAGCATCCAAATTTTGATCATAGGGATTCTGCAAAGGTCATAACTCTGAAAAAATGGTCATAAGTCACATTTTCAGTATTGTTGTAACTTTGAAC